TAACTGAGTTAAATTTTTTGTTTATCTAGTCAACAAAACCAGTTTCGCTTCCATTGACGTCTGTACAAAGTTCTACCACATCAGCAGCAAATTCGTTGTTATTAGAACGCTTATCTCCAATCACAAGTATCGGTACTACAGCTGCTGTTGTTATTTCGTCGTCTAAACAAACAACTAAACGTAGACAAAAACAACAGCGTCAAAACACGTCCGCTACTACAAACAATCTTTTAAATAAGAAAAATCATCGAACTAACTCACAAACTTCGTTTTTATTAACACCATTTTCGAATGATAATAATATTAATCAAACAGATAATACCGCTGGCGGTTATTTTTCTTCTCTAAAAAATTCGTCTTCGTCATCATCCATATTACTGACAGCAACATACAACACAAGACTAAACGAGGTAGATAAATCTATACGGAATTGCGTTTCTAATAGAAAAAACGAAATCGTTTTTAATTCTGTCGTGCAGGACATCAATCCATCGAATATGTACGCAAGTGAATTATCGTTGAAAACACCAGCGATGTCCAAAAATGAAGTAACATCGCTATTTGATAATAATATCAGAAGAACATTGTTTTCTGATCTCAATGGAAGATTTCAGAATCTATCAAATTTGTCTACGGTGACAAATACATTGACTCCGACAATCAATAGTGAAATGAATAATAGTCTCGATACATCGAATCCATGGCAATTTCGGCCAAAAGCTGGATGTAGTTACCTAAAGGTAAATAAGTGTAAAAGCTTTATTATGTACAGTTTTTAGAGAAACTCTATTGATTTAATTATTTGTGAACATAGAAAATGCAAAAATACATCTTTTCGCGCTTAATGAAGCACTAATGAAGGAAGGCATTTGACTATTGGCTCTAATTGTTTGATCGTTTTTTTATTGAGTCTTGTTTTATCTATTTCAGCCACTTTCGTGCGAACACTTACATACACACATCAAGCATCAATTCACTAATGATAAAAAACATGCATACTACAGCATATGTTGTTCAACTCATGGACAAATTGGTCGTTCTCGACTTAGAATTGGTCGAGGTGGACGGTAAACTTGGTTTTTAATACGTTTTTTAAGGTTCTTTACTTTTTTTGCATGTTATAGATTACTATACGATCGTCGTTTGCCGAAAGAATCGAATGAATTGTCATCTGAAACAAAATCACATCTAGCTGAAAAGTACGTTATAACTTGATTTTCAGATAACATGTTAGAATGACGTTATCTTCTTTTTACCAGACGTATTCTTTGGCGTATGCCAGCGAAACCAGATTTAACCGACGATTATAAATTACATAACCATCTGACAATTAACAATCATGATTTTGATTTATCACGTAAAAAATTTACAAATAAATCGCATACAATAATACGGGTTTTTAATAATACGTTAATGTCGTTACATTCTGAGACGAATGATTCATCTTATTCTGTGCATAAACCCTCTATTTCAACTGCAGGCAAATTTTGCCCGTCGTTTTCATCGACTAATGCATCAGTATCAGCCGAAGAAATAGATCAGTCATTTATCGAACTCGATCATCCATATTCTTGTACGTCGAAGCGTATTACTCAAGCGTTACAAACATTGACTTCAACATCCGAGTTGCCGTCAACTCCTTCCTCTACTATACTGTCCCCATTATGTTTATGCATTGATACACCTCCCACGCCCCCATCAACCGACCCCGAAAACGATCGATCCAAAGCATTTACTTTACCTCCTACGACGTCGAATATGTATAATTATCCGACGACTCCTCCTTCAGTAAATCATCCGAATGATACATCAACTGATTCGTCAAATACAAATTTAACGGATTCAAAGTTGTCAACTTTATTAGCGTTTGGCAGCGGCCAATCATTGTCGTTACATTCACGATTTAAAAATGAATTATTAAATAATAAAAATATGCGATTATTTCCATCTACTTCGTCTACGACTACGTCTGAAAATAATATTTCATTGCTATCGTCGACGGCGTATGCTCAACTAGAACAACAACAACAAATATACAATACAACTTCATCTTCGAGCAACAATAATAACTTACTTCTAAATCAAATGCTAACGACAGCACTATCAAACAGACTAGCTACAGGTAGTTATTCTATTAAAACACCCATCAACACGCTACAGTCTTGTTTTATTTGAGCTTCTTTATATGTAGATTTGACTTTTCCAAATAATAGTTTCTTCAAGAAATTTTGTTTAAAAGTGAACAAACACTAGAGTATTATGATGCTTGTAGTTAATCGTTTCTTCGTAAGAAATTTCATTATAAAATAACTATTAACTTTGTGTTTCTTTTATCTTAGTACAACCAAATTTAACATCATTTTCACGTTCAGTTTCACAAACAGATTCCTCTTCGTCCCACACAAATTTTCCATCCATTCAACCGACAACATCAACAACATCACATTTTTTACTTCGTGTTCCCGCACCCGGTTCGATCAATAATCAATATAATAATCTAGCAACTAATACACCATCAAAATCATCATTGTTTAACTCAACAACAACGAATCATCGGAATGTTGTGATTCCATCCACTACGAACGAAACGAAAAATGTTTTGTTACCCGCTCCATTCACACTGTTTCAACATAAAACAACAAATGGTTATAATGGTTCGATTTCAAGGTATGTTACTCAATCAAAAATTGATCATGATCCTAATAATCACGTTTTTTTCTGTTACAGTTTTGTTGCTCCAACGGTTAAATTATCACCAATTGATTCGTCGTCGATGATAACTGAAGTGACATGAGTCTTTGTGCGTGTGTGTATGAGAGTGTGTGTGTGTGTGTGTATTTTGTTTTTTACCAATTTTACTTGTGTGTTCGTCCACAATACGATGATTTTATCGTTATCACATATGTATAGTTGTTTCTCTTTACTTTCTATCTATTCTCGTTGTTTTTTTTCATTTATCTTAATATCCGGTGAGTTTTTCTCTGTTTTTGTTGTCGTGTATTTTTTTCTCGTTACCATTGTTGTTATTTTACTCATTTTCTGCTGTACAATATCATCCCTTAAGTGTTTATTAAAACAGAAAACAAAGGGAAATAAGATGTAAAACAATGAGCAATTCTTTGTTGTCTCTAACAAGAAAAAATATCGATGTGACTGATCAAATTCCCTTCCTCTTTTGATTGAATTTATTCTCTCTCAGATATTTTATTGTTTCACAGAATGTTGTAAGATCCGTATACTTAGCTGTACATCTGTACATTCGACTATTTCCCAGTGTGTTTTTTTGTTTGTTTGTTCTTTTATCCACACATTTCTGGTATGTTTATTATCTATAGATGGTATGTTTTCATTTTTTTACGTCTCTGCTTTTCTGTTTGTTTACTTGCCTCTATTTTGTTCTTTTTCCTCCAACCACAAAAAACAGAAAAAGAAAAACAACGTTTGAAAAAAATAATAAAAATTAATATAAGACAAAAAGAAAATGTTCATCGAGAATCATGATTAACGATGATCTGCTACTGTTCAATCAAAATATACACTGCTTGGTATGGTGCCGGTAGTTCAGAGTTCGAGCACTTTCTTTTTTTTCGTCTTTTTACACATGGTTGGATAGAGCTCGCTGAGCTCATTACGAAAAATTAGTTTTTAATTTTTAGCTTTTGAGCGAAAAAGTTCAAAATTCGGAGGTAGACCAAAAATGAAAAAAACGGCTCATTTTTGCAAAACACGAAAAACTTTATATGAATGTTTTTTGAACGTCTAAAACTAAATTTTTCAGATTCGTAATGAAAAACTGAATCTTAAAGCGTTGGTCCGACATTTTTAGTAAAAATATTTTCGATCGAATTTTTGAGCGAAAACTAGGCCAGTAAAATGATCCTAGTCCAGTTTATAAATCTATCTAGCTTTTTGGATTTAGAGATGAAGCTGATCTTTTTATGCCATTCGAACCGCCACTCAACAGGGTACAAAGATATGCATCGCTTTTTTTAATTTATTACCGCTTTTGAGAAAAATCAATTTTATTTTATTAATTGATTATTCATTAAATTAATGATCAAATTAAAAAATGATCTTTTACATTAAACGACCAACTGATTTTTCTCTAAACTTATCGTTTTAAACTTAAACACAATCAAATCCTACTAAAATAGGTTAAAAACATCATAAAATCCAATCAAAACAGTCTGACAGTCTAGTGGACAACTCAGAAGTATTTTGATTGAGTTTTCTGATATTTTTAACCTATTTTAGTAGGATTCGATTCTATTCTAGTAGGATTTCAAAAAACATTCCTACAAAGTTTTACCTGTTTTGCAAAAATGAGCCGTTTTTTCCATTTTTGGTCTACCTTCGAATTTTGAACTTTTTCGCTCAAAAGCTAAAAGTTAAAAACTACTTTTTCGTAATGAGCTCGGCGAGCTCTATCCAACCATGTGTAAGACGAAAAAAAATTTATAAAACATTTATTTGTTATCAGCAATAACCTAATGGCGATATAAATACAACGTAAATCTGAATTTGTGAGAATACAAACGATGGATACAACATTTTAAGTATCCATTCGTTTTATATCACACAGTGGGCAGTTTTGGCTAGGCATGCGTACATGTGCCATAAAAGTGATACGAAAGTCCCTAAACACTACTTTTACAGGTTTTCGTATGCGCTCTTTCTAGTGGTATGGTTGATGAAGTTCAAAACACTTTTAGTCGGGTTTTCCAAAGATCGGATCTTTGGAAAGCCCTGATAACAATATCTCTAAACTTGTAAGCCACACCATTGGAAAGAGCGCATACGAAAACCTGTAAAAGTAGTGTGTAGAGACTTTCGTATCACTTTTATGGCACATGTCCACATGCCTAGCCAAAATTGCAATGGGAATGCTGTAAATCTGTCATTTCATAAAATCGAACGATTTTTGCGCATAAAAACATACAACTGACATATCATTCAATACAGTTTGAACGCTGATTGTAAATATATCATTAGTCTTTTATGAAAGTATGGATTTTACTGAAAACCTATAACTCAGCTCAGGAGCATTTGGGTGATTTTGGGCTAACAGCATGAATATATCGTTAATAGACGCATCTTCTGTAAAAATTTCACTGCATTTGGAGCTTCGAAAAAAATCGGAAACCGACTATACTGCGGTCTGTTCTTTGGTAGCTACTTAGCATCGAAACAAAACTTTTTTTCTCGGTGATAAAGCGTCCTACAAAAAAAATTTTTTTACGAATAGATGGACTGGACGGTCTAGTTTTGTACTATGTATAAAATTTGCAAATATCATTCTCTGTTTTGCTGGAAATAATTTTTGTATCATTATAGCTCTGATTTACGACAAAAATTTGCTTAGCGATTTTGTCGCTAATTATGACACCTAGAAAAAAACTTTCAATGGCAAAAAGATAGAGCGTTTACCGAAGTACGTGTTCTGCTATTTGAATTTGCCAAAAGTTCACTTTCGTTTTCCCACCTAATGTCCACATGGTTGCCCACTGTGTATCAATCACATAAGACTTGTTTGTATTTTTAATACAAATGATTGAATACAATGATGAAAATACCAGAGTTATGATCGATGACTCTGCTTGTCAAAAAATAAATATTTCTTCAAAATCTTTCATTTTTTATGAATCTTTCTGAAAAAAAGTCGTTGAAACCGAACCGAACTGATCCGTTTTTCGAATAGTTCAAATTGAAGCGTTTTTGGTTCGATTCGGTCAAATTTATACGGTGCATTGATTTCAGTGGAAAACGTTTAGGAATAGAAAACTAAGATAAAAGTCTACAGTTATAAGTACTGCCGGCTCGTAATGGGGCATTTATCAGGATGCAGAAATCTCAAGAATATTGACTGTTGCAAACACTCGGTATGCTTTAAATTAAACTAGACAATTTTACCTAAAAAGTGACCCGAATGTTTTTATTGAATTTCCACTCTCTTCTTTTTCTTAACCATTTGAAATTTATCTTTCCGAAAATTAGCTTTTTTCTGCTAAGTAGCTTAATTGGAATATGACCAGATTTTTAATAATCTGTACTCGGTCTATCTTGTCTTAATTAGAGCTTTTACATCAAAAAAATGAATAGAAATAGGTTAGATCTCGTTTAGAAAATTAGTAGAAAGTATAGAAGTGATCCTTTTTATTAAAATTTGTTGTACAACTCTGACCCCTTGAAACACTTGTTATTTTATTTCTTCTAAAAGTCAGTGGTCTAACCTGAATATCTGGTAATCACATTTGAAAAATTTCGGCTGAATTAACTGTTGAAATCAAACATATTCCAATATGTCGAAAACGACGGTTTATATCGGAGATACCGAGTACGAGTAGTGGCACTAGCTTTGGCGTAATTGTATACGTACAATCGATGGCGTGTTGTCAAGAAAATAAATATGTTTTCGACATCGACCGTTTCGTAATACGGCACAAAAATATTATACATGTTATTCGATGCGGGACAAGAGTTTCGATAAGAACACCATGCCTGTAGATCATTAATACACTTTATTGAGCAACGGTCTTTCTGGCAATAAAATCGAGAAACATATTGAATTTTTGTACCATCTAAAATGTCTAGGTGCGAAAGGACGGGTACCGATTTCTGCTGGAAAATGAACCAATATGATTTTGAGTGAGAATGATCGCAAATGCTTCCTACTTTACTTCCAGATACTTATGACTCTTAAAAATTGCTTCTGATCTCCTTGACAAAATTTTTCTATCATTTTTGGCGGCCATTTCAACAAATATCATATCATTTTTTCCCAAAAGTTTTTGTCTGATGTCCAAGTCCTTGACCAAAGCTCATATATAGAAAGACACAGACTTTTTCGGGCTTCAAAATGAGCTATAAATAAGTCTTTCAAAAATATGCTCACATGGGTCAGTAGTAGAAATACTTGACCGATATAATGATTTTTTCACCTATCTTAGTGCTTTAAGGGAATATTTCTTGAACTCATCTACTCAGACCCAGAATGTTTTGTATATCGAAAGATAGGGAATTTTATGGGCTACAATTACAAAATTTTATTTTAAAAGTTTGCCCTCATAGATTTATTGTAAATATTGGATAGATATCTCGATTTTCGCCCATAGCGATATATAAAAATAGTCACAGTTTCGTTCAGAAATAGAAATTAGGAATAGTTTGTATTTAGAAAAATGCAGAATTGAAAGGGCTATAAAATAAGCTATGGTACGTCGTTTCAAACCTTAAGTTTAGCAGACTTATTAGCAAAATACCAAACGGATAGAAAACTAGAAAAATCTGCAAAAAAGCAGCGTTGTGGAGAGCTCCGAGACATCTTATTTTCCTCAGATATGTTTACTCGATCTAATTAAACTATTAACACAAAACTACCGATAAAAGCCAGGATACTTGAAATGGTCACCAAAAATTATACGAAAAATTTTGTTAAGGGGAACAGAAGCAATTTTTAAGAGTCAAAAGTATCTGAAAGTACTGTTTGACCCAAAGCTCTGCGTCACTCGGTTTGTATCCAAACTTTTCTTAAACAAGAATTAAATAGAAATTTCAACTGGCGTGCCCTACTTTTTGTTTCTTCTTTAGGTTCTATAATTATGTATAATAAGTCGAAACGATCCGACTTTCTTTAAATCGTGATCAATCGAACTGATTCAATTTCAAAATTTATCAACCCAATCGAGGCCATTCGACCTACACAGGCTTAATGATTTTTCGTAGCTCTCTGAGAGATGATCCATAAGTTCAAAAATTGCTACTTGTCTTACTCTAGAGAGTAGGACCAACTGAGTATACAACTGGTTAATAAAATTCCGTTTTCTTTTGAAAAAACCCCGTTAATATCTTGTTTTTCAAGGCTCAAATTTTCTTGCGAGGATGGCATCTTTTTTAGAATAAAGCAAAATACCATGACATACAGAGACTGGAACAAAATCAAAGCCGTCCGTCTGAAATATTAGACGTAAGACGGCTGAGTTCAAGAAGTTAACTTAACCCTTTTCTAAGATTTTTATCAGAATTTTTTAACACCAAATCTTGTTTGCATAAAGTTCGACTATCGTTAGATACTAAAATAAGCATTTCTCTAGCCTTTGTATGATGCCGCTATTACGTGTCAGATTTTACTTCATTGTCTTGAATTAACTTTCTTAGTTTTCATAGTTCATTTTTTAGTTATGTATGACCACATTGAGAAAAATCGAAACAAAAAAAATTTCACAATAATCGATAAAAAGTTAGGCAACTGATATAAGAAAAACGAAGCAAATCCAAGTTTCGAACAAAGAAATTTGATGATAATATATGCATAAAAATGAAGGTGTGAAATGATAATCATAATAATAATAATAGATTAACAGAAAGAAGCATCATATAGCTTTCATGTTGTTGTTCTTCATATTCGACGGTTTGTTTACAAATGTTTTTAAGATACATATGAAAATGTTTGAAGCTGTTCTTGTCGACTACTATGTTGTTTATCAACTTCATCGTGCGTAAAACGAACAAATTGATCATATTGTTCTAAAACAGAAACATCAGCCTATTTAAGCGAAAATATATTTAGTTTGTATCATTTAGTATACCGTTTAATTTGATGTTCAATAATTTTTCATACTGTTCTTTTAATAGTTTTTCATTATCATTTAACATGCGTGTTATCATTGTAGCTGTTTGTCTTATCGTGAATATTGAAAGATCGTCCGCTTGTGTGGCATTCGTTGAAAATGGAGTGATCGACGAAAACGAATTAGAGGTATTATTTATATTAGTCGAGATTTTTTTTCGTTGTTGCTCGTGTTGATCAATGGGTGACGACGGAAAACGTGACGATGAAAATATTTTCGACATGATATTTTGTTGTGAGACATTACTATTGGACAATACTTTAGCACCATTGAATTCATTTGAATTATTTGAGTTGTTCATAGTATTAAGTGAAAATGGGGTTGAAGTTGCTACTATTGGTGGCGACGACGAACCAAACTTTTCACATCGTTTACGTTTTTGTCCCTGTTCTATTGGATCAAAGTCCAAAGAACGTTTTAACGAAACGACAGCTAACATTACTCAATCGTCTTTGAACAATACAGTGGGAAAATAAGTATCCTGGCCTAAACTAAACAAAGAGAAACATTGAAGACAAAATGTTTCGAAATAAAAAAAATTGATCAGTTGATTTATTACTCTGAGATAACAGATGCAACAAATCGTCAGTGTTGCAGCCTCTGAAAAACTTGACAAAGGGCTTTTTAATCATAAACATCGACTGCAGATTCAAAGTATAATAACCACAAGACAGATTGGAGTTGCACTCTACACTGTCTTCCTACCGTTAAAAGGCCAAATAATAAACATATGTGCTAAGATACCACGTATAAGGTATAACTTTGCTCATGTTTTTTTCTGTGTCAACAGACTATTTAGTTTCTGGGCGATTAATCACTAACGTAACATACTGTAATTTAATAGAAAGTAACAATTACTATTAGGATAACTTATACTTACCGTTAGCGAAGATAAAACACGGTTTTTTGCACTCAATTTTATAGGAAATGTTCTTTTTCTTAGTCCGCTGTTTTATTGTGCATTGTTCTATATATGCCGACAACAAACAAACAAAACAAACGAACAAGAAGTGCCGAGAGACATATGCTTAAACATGATTTCCTTTGTGCTCGTTAACCAATCATAAATAAAATAAGACAGAAAAAACAAAAACTAGAAATATTAGAAAAAAAGGCGATGTCAAGGCTAGATAAAAGAATGCTGAGCGCTTTTAAAACCATTTTAATCAACTTTCTTCATTTTCATTTGTGAAGAGCACGCCATCTGGGAAATGCTTTTCTAATTAGTGAACCTTTCTTTATCCATCCGACGAAAAAGTAGAAGTGGTAAAAAGTGGTAAAGTTTCTTTTAAAATACTAGGCAAATTACTAGGTATGATCGAGACTTTATAATCACAACATATCTTTGTTGCACGAGGTGTCATAGAAGAGCTATGTCGAAGGTTAAAAGATCACTAGCTGTCGATTAAAAAAAGGCTTACTCACATTAGTAAGTCAAGTGATAAAATCGTACAGAGAACACATAATCAGACTCGTGAACAGAAATCGTGTAGGATTTTATCATAAGATTCCATCAGATGGAATCTTCTATGATATGATTAGAAAGAATTTTATAGAAACACTGTAGCAAATTATAGGATTTTGAGGGACTCTTACTGTTTTTTTTTGATGGTCAATCTAATTGCTTATTCTCTTTCAGCAGAAATAATCCTTGTTATTTGTTTTCATCAATGTTCTTCTTTCTTAATTTTAGCGCCCACCCAGAATCCAGAGTATTTTAGCTACTGCCGTAGATATACCTAGCAGATCAACCGAACCGTGCTGTCCGTCGCATTTGTGGAGGACATAAAAGACAAATTCTCATTCTCTAATGTGTTCTTTATATAGCACTGTTACTGCAAGACAAAATGGTGAATGCGAAGGTTGTAGGAATATGACAGGATTTCTATAGTACGAGTCTTGCATTACTAAAAAAGCGTCTGACATACGGTTTTTGTTTTCAACATGAAGAAACAATTAGAAAAAAGCCAGACACATTTCCACCCGAAAGACTCACTCTCATTACGGGACTATTGAATCAGATACTTTTCCAACTGGTTAAACATGTTTGAGAAGCGAGTGAGTATGAGTCGTTAAAATGTCTGTGACAATTCACAGTCTGAGTGTTGCTAGCATCGTTATTCTCTAGTATTTTCGAATTAGAAGAATATGAAAGAAACCAAAATGCTTTGATCGAATCAATAAAATCATTTTTTATGTATTCAAACTTAGGTTTTTGAATGCAGTTATTCAGAGCTTAAAAGGAACAAGATAAATGTGGGTATAGTAGTCACATCAGGTTTTGCCTCATTTTTCACTATGATGTCAAAGAAAATACACACTTTCCTGACCTTTTTTGAAATCACTTGTTTTGGAAAATTCAAACAAAAAATCTTTATGATGCTTTGTTTATTTCATTTTAGATTAAATAACTGACTATTGAGAATGGAAATTTCAATTAATGACACTAAGTCGGATCCGTTTCTTGAACATTTCGAAACGTTACTTGATGAATCGTATGTAGAAAATAATTTGCAGAAGAAAAACAAATCGAAATTGATTAAAGAACATACGTATCTTGATCTCGGTCAATTTGAATATTTGACAAGTTATCAAAAAACCGAACAAGATTTTTCATCGTCAAGCATTTATCATATTGAATCTTATTCTATCAAAAAATCGTTATTAAAAAATATTTATAATTCTGGACGAACATTAACTAATTTACAATTAGAATATTTTAATTTAATTCAACAATACAATGATGTTTATTATCCAAATCGTACTATTGATAATGGTGAACAATTTCGTTTTATAACATGTTTACATTTGTTAAATCATATAAAAAAATCGAGACAACGTATATTACAACATAATCAACGTTTAAAAGATAATCCAGAATTAGAATACCAAGATCAAGGTTATTCCAGAACAAAAATACTTATTATTGTACCATTTCGTGAAAGTGTAAGACGTATTGTACAATGTTTTGAAGATATATTAATTGGTGAAGACGATGATGAAAAAAATAAAATACAGTTAACACATCGTAAACGTTTTAAAAATGATTATGGTACTGGTGATGAACAAACAACAACAAGAACAAAACCAAAGTTTCAACGTTCATCCGATGAATATGACGAAATATTTTCGGGAAATACTGATGATCATTTTCGTTTAGGTGATGTATAAATTTATCATTTACCTAACATATCTTATTAGCCATGAATTAATAAAATTATTAATATATATTTATTTAGGTCTATGTGTGACACGTAAATCGTTGAAATTTTATACGAAAGCGTATCAATCTGATATTTTAATTGTGTCACCCGTTGGTTTACGAACAATGTTAGAAAAACGACGTGGAAAAAAACGTAAACGAGATGATGAAAATGAAGACGAGACAGAAGATGATATCGATAATGCTACCGCTTTTCTTTCATCGATTGAGTGTGTGTTTTGTGATCAATTAGATGTGTTATATATGCAAAATTTTGATCATCTATTATATATATTTGAAAATTTAAATATACAACCCAAAAAGCCGACTTCTATCGACTTTTCACGAATCCGTGCATGGACATTGAATAATTGGTCAAAATATTATCGTCAAATAATTGTTTTATCATCATTTACATCACCATTTTTTCTGAATTTATTTCATCGTTTCTCAACGAATTACCAAGGTCAATGTATATTCAAACCAAAATTTCCTTTAAATGGTTATATTTGTCAACAAACACTCACAAATGCACCACAATTATTTCAACGAATACAATTAAACACAATGATAACGGATAAAACGATACCCGAACAACGTTGGCAATATTTTATTGATACGGTATTACCACGCTATGATACGATGATGTACGATCATACTCTCATCTATTTGTCGTCTTATTTTGATTTTGTCCGTTTAAGAAACTATATGAAAGATGAAAAACATCGACAATTTAATTTTGCAACATTATCAGAATATTCAACGAAAAAAGAAATTTTATTAAATCGAAACATGTTTTTTCATCGTCAAATAAGATTTTTATTGATTACTGAACGTTTTCATTTTTATTATCGTTATCGGATTAGAGGTTGCAAACATATACTTTTTTATGAATTACCATCCTATGGCCAGTTTTACAATGAAATTGCACATTTTCTAACATTATCAACAACATCAAAAAATAAAATTGATTATGCTGCAACAACAACGCCAACATGCACCACTCTATATACGAAACAGGATGCGTTAAAATTAGCCTACGTACTGGGACAAAAAAGGACAACAGAATTGCTAAATTCAGACAAAAATGTCCACATGTTTTCTAATAAAGTTTCCTAATCTTTATTTAATAAAATTTGTCAAAAATACTGTGTATTTTTATTGTGTGAAATTTCTCGATACACCGGTGTTCATACTGTTTAGGCAATAAAATACTTGTCAATTGTATTTAAAATGCGCTCAGAGTCGTTTAACAAAAACTTTTAGTGGTAGTGGAAATGCGAATAAAAATCCACATCTTATCTTGATGAAAGAATGTTTTTAATTATAAACTTGTTCTTCCCGGATATTTTACTTTTTCCTTTAACGAGGAAAATATCTGATGATTTTTAGGATTATATCACTTTAATTTATTATCGTATCTAGAGAAAGGGTACCCGTACCCGATATAGAGTGCTAAGAAACCTTTGAGAGGCTCTTCAGTCTCTAGGAGCCCGATACCTTCTCCGGGGCTGAGAATCTTCAAAGATGATCATCCGTCTTTATCCAATTTGATGTTTACAGAAATACTTTTGTGTGAGTCATACTTTTTTGGTTTATACACAAGCTTTTTGGAGAATACATCTTTTGTAGTGTTTTCTAGTTCACGTTAGAAAGATTAGACTACCAAATAAGTTTTTAGCTATAAATGGTTTTAAAAATCGTACTTTGTTGATTTTTAAAGCTTAAATGCATGAAAAACAAAATAAGACGAATGTATTTAAAGGTGTGTTTAAGGAAGTGCGTGCGTGAACTTTGAGTCGTTCTAAATAAATTCGCATCCAAGTTTTTGTATTGAAAGTAGAAATGATATTGAATAACGTTGTTTATGGAAATGAAGAAGTACTGACGCAATTCGTTCGTCTTCTGATTCATGCATGCCACAATTACAGTGACACGTTATAGGTTATGAATCATCATTAATTTTCGGTTATATAGAGGAAATAACTCAAAATTTCGTGAATATTTGATCACATAAGAATTGGTGTTTGCAAGAATGACATTGACTATTCGTCGAATGAAAAATGATGATTTAAACATTGTAACGGAAATAGAAAAAGTCGTGTGGCCTGATGATCCGTGGACACATGAAGATTTTATTGATTCGAATAATCCTTGGTGCTATTGTTGGGTACTTGAAGAGAAAAATGAATTAATTGGCTACTCGATGCAGTATTTTGACTCAGATATGACATCTCATATTGCTAACATTTGCATCAAACCTGAAAGACAAAGACAAGGTTTAGGCAAAATTATGCTCAATCATTTAATATATATAGCACGATTATTAAAAGCAATATCAATATCCCTAGAAGTGAATGCAACAAATTCTAAAGCGTTGCACTTATATAAAGCATTTGGTTTTGAAATAATTGATTTTTTAAAAGATTACTATCCGACTGGCGACGCTTATAAAATGAAATTACATTTGTTAACTAATCGATGTGATGTTTAAAGATTATCTCATCATCTTTTTATGTCGACTGACATTATACAATCATTCAGGTATATTTTTTTTCTTGTTTGGTCATTTTTTTGCAAAATGCGCACACCATGATCTAGAGAACTACAGTAGGAAACTTATGAAAACGGAAGGACATTCTCTGGGTACTGAAGATTGATCAGTGCATGTTCTTGTTTCAAATAAAAGCTCAGATTCGGTGCCGCAAACTCCAGAAGTGGAAGAAAAATGTGTTTTGGACTTCGATGTTTTTCAAAGTTCATTAGCATCAGTTGTCGGGCACCAGTTGTTCTTCAGAAGAATAAAAATACTTTCTCTTTCTGTTTGTAACGTATATTTGATTGATATTATACATGAGTCATCTGTTATTGCTGACTAGCTGAAGTACCCGGCGTTGCTCGAGAAAATTTGATATTACTTACTTGACATATTAGAAAAAGGTATCGTTATATGGTCTCCTATCAGTTATAGCTCCGGAGTCTCGACTGCCCTGGAGGCCGCATCCCTTGTCCTATCTTCCTCGCGTCGAATCTGCCTCTGTGCTGGAGTCTCAGCTGCTGTAGAAGCTGCTTGTCTTGTACGCTGATCATCGACCCGACTGCGTCTCTGTTCCGGAGTGTCAGCTGCTCTGGAGGCCGAATGCGTTGCCCGATCGTCCTGGCGTCGAACCTGCCCTTGTTCTGGAGTCTCAGCTGCTCGGGAAGCTGATGTACTTCTGCCCACCAGGGTTTTTGGTTTGGTGGCATTTTGCAGTATTCCTATTGTAAATAGGATAGGTTAGAAATATTCTTTAAGAAAGGTGTATTTTTAACAAAGTTACCTTAGAAATTTGCACCTTAGAAAGTCACAATCGAAAATACTTTAGTAATCTGAGAAAATTTTGTAGTGTATATTGAATGTTACTCACTTACTTGTTTGTGCGTGAGTACGTTTATTAGTAGAATCGCCGGAAGATGAGAAATACTATAATGAATATGGCTCTGATACAGAAAAACAATAGAAAAACACACATATATATGTATGGCACACATTAAAACATTTTGATAGCGTCATTGTATAGTGTGACGATATATCACGCATCATAAGGAGTGTGATACATTATGTGCTGGCATAAAAAACGACGAAGAGATTAAGTCATATCCAAGTATGTACTATAACTAATCGCCTAAACATATTGGACATATATTTATAACTAACCAAAAAATTTTCTTTGATTTCACCCACTCTTGAATACGCTACGTAAAGTTGGCCATGAGAAAAGCAAGGAGTTTCTCACGCTCATCCTCACCGACCCCTTTTCAACCTTCCTCTGGACCTAAGGGTATGTCATGGAAAGTTTGGTGACGCTAGCTCTTACAGGGACCAAATGCATAAAGAACAGACAAACAGACAAACATTCTTCTTTATATATATAGATAGATAGACAGCACTGATAGCTTAGAGATAATCAATGCACTGATATATAAAATGAGTTGCAATGTAATTAATTATAGAGGATAATCTTAGTTTCAAGTTAGTACATAGTTTATTTTAAATTAGGTGTAACTCCCGTGTAGAGAAAACGCTGTATTAAACGTTCAGTTTTAGAATTTGTAGGAAAATGCTTGTAACTTTTTGACGCAAGATCATCCAGAGTTGTGCGAGGTCTTATTTTGATCAGAAAAGTTTACGCTACACATTTACGCGTTGAGAAAAAACTTTAATTACATGAGCATCTAGAAAAAAGCTCTTATTTGAAGACCCGGTTTTTCGAGGTTCCTAGAAAACTTGCTCGAAAGTCGCGAAAAATCACTTTTATAACAGAAAGCGATACAGATTCTGAAAGTAGACACTTCAGGCTATCTTTCCATATGCTTATCTCAAAATCGATTTTTTGACCCAGAATCATTATTTCTGAGGGTGTGTCTTGACATCGCATTGACATCGCAACTTGTGCGCAGCACAATTGCTGGTTATTTTTAACTAATATTTGACAGTAATTTATCTAAATTGGAACACTCCAACTGGAATTGAACGACTAGTAATGAAAACAAATATAAGAGTTAAAATACTACGTATAATTATAATTTTCGTCTACAAACGAAATAATTATGATATTACTCAATATTCAGTGAACCATTAAAAAGGAATATATTTTTTATCAAAAATGTAAATCTTCATAAAAAAACTATTTTCTTTTCTTCGAAACTTAAGTACACTGTTCCACTTTCTTGTTGATGTTCTTGTAAGATTCTAGTCTTTTGCCATTTCAGACAAGAATCTTTAAATTTGCTTTGATTGATCAGACAAGGCTTTTTGTTTTAATTTTTTATTGATTATTTTTACCTTTTTTTCCAGAATATTAATGTTTAAAATAAAGTTCCCAATTTTGTTTTGTCGATTCCTATGCTATGGATAACTTAATATATTATATCCACCTGGAAAAAAATAGTTGTACTCGATTTTTTTAATATATCATCACTATAAAATGCATTTAAAAAAAAGTAATTATATATTCTGATAGCGCTCGGAGTTCTCTATCATCCTATATATTTATGTCTTGTCTTGCATTTATTTGCTGAAAAACAATTTGAGTACAGCGAAGGTGTCCTCAATTGATAAGTACCAAAAAGCTGCAGTTTTTCGCTACTTTTTTCACACCATCTGTACTAAAAGATTTTTTTTACAGATCACGAGAAAGAGCACATTCAGAAGTAGGCATCAGGAAGCGGGTAATCTCTCTTTTTACGGAAAGAAAAGAAAACTAAAAATTAAGTCCTATGTATATTTTTTCGTTTTGGTTTTTTTTAAACAAACGCCAAAAGTCAAGAATCTGTCAAGAAGTCGGACAAGAGAGCAGACCAGTACCATTTTTCTTTCTCTTACTGTCAACTTTTCCGCGACTGCACTGCATCTCTAATAGATTCAGTTTTCTTGGAATAAAATTTATACAGATCAGCTATATTATGGAGGTGATATTAATCATTCTCTACTTGACATACATTATAGGTAACGTAATGAATTGAAAAAAAATTCTTTTTTGCTTACGTAATTTTGCTTTCACGTAATTTCTGTTTGACTTAAGGTCATCCTCTGCCAGCAACTCAAATCTGAACTCAAAAACTTGTTGAATTCACTAGTCCTATGTTACTACTTTCAGAATCCATAATATTTGACGTTAGACTAAATATTTTTACCAGTTTTTTTAGAAAACTTTCAAAAATCACTGAAAATTCTTGTTCAGAATTCGTAGTTTTCCAGAGCCGTGTTGACGTTTTAGCCTTAAAATAGGTTAAAACAGGTCGCACTTGAAGAACAATATCTATGCTTCAAAATGAGATGCTCTGCAAGCCTGTAGAACACTTTTTTGAAAAGTTACATTAATTTTACTGAACTGACCAAAACAACGCATCTAAATTAAAAGTACGTTTACCTTTTTTCATCATCAATACTATTTTCAATTATCCTCAAAGAGACTTTATGTTGTCAGAGTAAATGAAAGCCTTTTATATATCATTTATTTTTGTTTCACTTCTTTATCATTTTCCTCGAGATCTCGAGAAAACTCGGTTTTTCATTGACATCCACTACAATCACATCAGAAACTCATTCAATCGAGCTCAAATTTTTACGAGAGATAGTTCAAACCATATCTCAGAGCTGAAAATATCGCTTCCTTTCCGGTTTAAGGCAAAAATAATGAAACACCGGTAAAAATCTAAATTTTTCATCTTTAAAAATCCTATAAGTCTGAAAGGAAAGACTGTCGAAAAAATAAAATAAAAATATGTAGACTAACATTAAGGAAAAAGGGTATATTTACTTAAGAAGAAAAAAAGAAAAGGACTCATATATAAATTGTTTTGTTTTCTACAATATCGACTAAACTATTTGATATACTGATATTTATCGCATGGTCACAGTTCTCACATAAAGAATCGACCACAGTAATTGAAAAGTTTTGAACTCAGTGAAATAAGAGAAGTTCTCTGCTTTGAATATAATGAAAATTTGTTTCATTTCGTCAATATTTGTGGTGTGATTCAAAACTTTTCTTAATTTTTGACTGTTCTTGCAGTATTGCCCACGCTTCAATTGTCATGCACATGGGATTATTTACATCGAAGGAAATAAAAATAAAAATACTATCTTGCAAAATTTAAGCTTATTCATGAATTTTTGAAGTTGTTTTCATGACTCTGGAAGCTCTTGTAAATTATATATAGGATGTGCCAGTCATAGAATCTCAAAACAAAAAAATTTTGTAATAAAAGCATATTGCATAGTCATATTGGCAAAGATACTCATTTTTCCTGATATACTTTTAGGTGTACCAATTCGCAATTAGATAATGCCCAAGCTACAATCGGCTGAACCATCCGTTATTCAGCGTTGTTTAACATCTGATGACGTGGGAACATATGTAATACGACAATCATGTGAAAATGATGAATTAGTATCGTCTATTGAACCGTCACGTAATTCAATATCCGGCATGAACAATTATATCATACTATCTGTCAGATGCGAAGAATCAAATCATAAGTGTCTTGTTACTCACTATCGTATACCAGTTAGTGGTACAAATATAACATCAGAATATTTGAATAAACTCATCGAATATTATCAGAAAAATCCTGCACAAACGAAAGGCATACATTGGCCGCATTTAAAGAAAGAATTACCAATCTCGACATCATTCGTAAATGTCGACGGTTGGCGTATTAATATAGCAAATTTTAAATTGGATAATTGGATAAAAGGAGGTAATCACAATTCATATATTCAAAAAGGAATATGGGATAAACAGCAGCTTCCTGTATTCATTAAACGTTATCAAAGAGAGAGGAAAGATTTAACCCATTATTTTAACAACGAATTTAGAAGGCTAAGAGAATTATGTTATTTTCCAATTGTACAGTTATACGGTTATTGGTCAGATGATGAATATCTTTATCTAATTCTAGCTGATGGGGGACGAGATCTTTTCTCTTATTGTCCATTAAAAAATAAAACTGAAAAATCAGTGATGAGACGTGTAGCCAATGTTGGATTTCAAATAGCGAGTGGTATGATGTATTTAGAAAAATGTCATATTGTTCATCGAGATTTGACAGCTGGAAATGTATTAGTCGATAAATATGGATTCATAAGAATAGCAGATTTCGGTCACTCTATGAAATTAGAAGAAGGAAGAAATAATTTAAGGAAAGATACTGAAAATTTTCAGTTTCGATGGTTGGCACCTGAATGTTTACCATTTACAAATACTACACAAATTACTACTCCACGTCATGATAAGGATCCAATATTTACTTCGAAATCAGACGTCTGGTCTCTGGGAATTACACTCATACAACTGATGATTGACAACCCAAAAAAACCCTATCCCGCTCTTAAGGAAGATTCAGAAATAGTTCATCATGTTAAATTAGATAAAGAGATTCATCCAAAACCAATTAATTGTTCTGTTGACATGTATTTATTATTACAACGATGTTGGGCATACGAAACAAAAGATAGAATAACATTTCAATCTTTACGGGAGAGAATGTTTCAATTAGAGAGGATTAATACATAACACAAATATTTTTTATCATTTATATTACCATGCTGGTCATGCTTTTTTAAATAATAAAATTCTGATATTTTTCATCGAACTTCAGATCATTCGTACGATGTATAAACTATACGAGATTGGTCTGATGGAAAAAATTCTTAAACAAGACATGCTTGAGTTTCTTTTTTGAAGTCAAACGCATGAGATTTTATGGACGAGAGGCGTACATCTAGAAATATACTCTAAACGAAAGTTAGACTCGAATAGTATAAATGATGTAGACTAGGTATATTAAGTTACATATGTAATACGGAGTTAGTGAAGGAGCCGAAACAAACATTACGTGTTGACTAAAGTAAGGAATTATAACTCTTCTTACACATTTACTTTTGGGTAATTCAATCCAAAAGTACGGTTGTTTCCAGGGTTGCCAACTCTTCCGATTTATCGAAATTTTTTCTGATTTTGAGCTTCTTTTCCGAATGAATTCTGATTTTCGGATTTCTGGCGTTTTTTACTTTTTTCTGGAAAATATATATTATGTACCATTAGTATAAAAGTTTAACTGATTAAATGATGTCATGCTTAATGTAGGTCTTTTTTTCTTTTTCTTATGCGTTTATACACATCTGTGTGTTTACTTGAAAGATAAAGCCCATTACATGTCATGAATCGTTTTTGTAACATATATTCAATAGAACAGAAAAAGTCTTCATTTCTTATTTTACGGATGAAGACATACAAGCTAGTTATCGATCTCTAGCTGTTAAATTTGTTCATTTTATTCAAAAATCGTTGAAAGATTTTTTCAATTTTAACAGATTTTTTTTCTGAACTCTGAATTTTACAGTTGGCAATCCTGTTTGTTTCACAAATGTAAGTTTGTGAATTGAATTTCATTATTCGTGTAAACTTGGTCTGTTCTACTTTCGATTAGTGTGTCTTCTTTCTGTATAAAAAAAATAAACGTTCATCTTGAAAGGAAAGACGTTTTTACTGGCTAAATCCATCTTCTTTAGACATACAGAAACTGGTCGTAGTTTTATAAATGGAGCAAAATAGAATCATACTGGATTTTCATCATTTTCACATATTCACAATCAAGACAAATGTGGATTAAAGAAACAATATATTTGATGAAAACAAGTACGGTCTACGCAATAATTAGACAAGATTATTTTCAGATAAGCGTGATGAAAACCAACATAGTAGTTTATTGGATGATGTTGAATTTTTTTTATGAGTGAAAACGGTCGGACAGCCAGCCATAGAACGATCAAAAATAACAATGAAAATAAATTTCTCATCAATTGATAAACGTTTATTTGTAAACATTCCATCAATATCATCTAATTGTTTTTGGCTTGCTCTTCAAGAGATACAAAAGATTCTTTTATCGAATAATTTTGAACGAGGTAGAAAAAACTTTGTATCACAAACTTTTATTGCGTTTACAAACACATTTTTTAAAGTCAAGTTAGACGAATGCTTGATTGTCCAAATATGTTGGATATCTCGTTAAATAAAATAAACTATGATTATCCGTAAAAAGTAACAAAACTTTAACACAATTGTATCACGTTTTGAAAGATATGCTCTAAGAATTGTCAATGAAGTTATGGAAGAATTAGACGTAAATCATTACATCTACATACATATGACACACAATTTAGACGTTTTAACAATATGATTTCTTGTTACGAACAAAAAACTATTTTGATAATTAATCAAGACGTTTGCTTTTTAGTTGGACCCCGTTTTGTTCGTGTTTGATTCGTAGCATTGGTAGTCGATTGTGCTGATGTATTCAATCGAGGTGGACGTTTTTTAGACGGAACAAATGATTTTCCACTATTCAATGTATTGAGAGAGTCTGAAATGTAAAAAGTTTTGACTAGAACTGAAATCGTAACACATCATGAACCATAAAATATATAAATTCTTCATATTAAAACAGTTTTGAATTTACTTGTTAAAACTGTGCAAAGTTTTTGATCAAGTTGGTCAAAATTAAAAATTGCCGTGTACCGCTTTTCACCACTAGCATTGTCCACTAAACAAATAGTAGTGTGTCTAGATATGATTATCTTTAGAAATCAAAAGAATCGACAATACCTTCGATTTTTAAAACATAATATGTACTTCTTGGCACTAAATAGTGTGTAGCATATTCTTCCGAATGAGTATTTAATTCTTTGAGTTTACCATCATTATCCATGAAGTCAATCATTTCTAAAATCATATTATGTGATTTATCTGTAGAACTGTAACAAAACTGTAGCAGATAAAAGGCAAATTTTGTAAGAAAAAACTATACCATCTGGAGCAACAACGACTTTTTCCTTCACCCAATTGAGTAGTCGACGACAAGATGCATAACTATTTAATAATAACTGTTGATTATCTAAAATAAATTAAAAGTATTTAACTAAAATAATGACGGTGATGTATTATTATATATTATACATCTTATAGATTCTCTAACATAGTTATAAGATACTAATATGGCATCTCATCCGTTCAAAAAATTAATCTTCTGAGCAATAAGTACAGACATAACCATGTACATATCTACAAAACATTTTCTTCTTACCTCCATATAAGACTCGAACAAATGTACATGTACCCGAAGATGCTCTCGGTTTAGATTCCGTCTTTACTCCACTAGAGCTTACGGACGAATTTCTTCTTGAAATATCCATTAATTTCTTCTCACGATGTAACTATTGTTTAAATTAATGTGAGAAAAAGAAATCCATTTTGAATCGCATGCAAAAAGAAATAGATGTTAATAGAAGATTTATTTTTTGTTATTTTTCTTTAAATTTCGTGATCAACACATTCTCAATAAAACATTCAAACATAACTTTCTGTTAGAATGTTCAAAGTGCTTTTGTTCTATTTTAAATCTGCGAATCCCATATATGTTTTAAATAGCATGATTTTTTTCTACTCTTAATGCATTGTTGTATGTCTGTATTGTATTATCAAACGGTAAGTGACTTTGCTTACGGCAAACAATAAACAAAAATGTTGTTTTTTGTTCTACATATGACTATTATCTAATTCATTTATAATTAACAGCTGTATACTGTATAACACAATGGAATAATCTTTTATTGATACTTTCAGTCTGAAAATTCTCATATAGATCCTATTATTTCCCTTGTTGCTATATGTCATAATGCAAATATAAAGAGACCCACTATCCTTTCTTAGTTTTTTTCTCCATATTTAAATGAACTGTATAATTCGAGACTAACTTCTCGATGTATGAAGAGTTATGATCAACACTTTTACTGAATTTTTTATTATTAAACTCACTATTCATTAAAGAGAAATAATAAAATTACCTTGTGAAGTAAGTGGCACATGAAATATTAAAGTTACCAATGTACCCGTTAAATTTTGTATAGAATTTTCGTTTTGTGTAGTGTTTAATATATCTCGTTCATTAAAACTACTAGTTAATGATTGTGTAGTGGATAGTTGTTGTTGATAGTGATGTCGTTTTGTACTGATTGTTGGATTTGTCGACATTTTTTTATTGCATTTAAGAACAACAAAACTTTTTAATATGTAATTGATTATACTTAAAAAAATAATTCTTTGACAGTACTACCAGAATATGATTTATTTTTATAATCGAGGATCGAGAAGAAAAAATACACCGAGAGAAAGAGAGAAAAAAGAAAAAAACCTGATAGCAACATCAGCGACCATTATTAGAGCATATGATGCTTTTCTTTTTTCTACTTTTCAACAGGTATGTGTGTTGTATTTACAGGACACTTGTTTCATTTAAAAAAATAATAATAGAAAAAAAAAGACTGTTGGTTACTGTATAGAAGCATGCTTGTTTTGGTATATATAAAGAGGAGAAACCCTTATCAACAACTTAACGAACTACTGACTGAAATAATGATAAATTCTTTAATTTTTTCAAGATTAAATAGTTAAACTCTTATATTTTCTTGTTGTAGTTCTAAAACGATCATTAATCGAATAAAACAATTTTACTCTCATATATATTTTTACTAACATCAGAAACTCAATGTCATATTGTGCTACTCTATAGCCGTTCATTGAGCAACAGCGATAGTTGTAAACACTTTAAAGCTTTTATCCACAAGAGAAAAGAGCTTATTCTACGATAATTTTTCCACATTTATAGTGTAGATATGCGCTCATGTTGGAGATCTCATGATGGTACGATCTTGAATTTATTAAACAATTTGAGTTAAAAAACTATTTAAAAAGTCATGGTGTTTTGACCAAAGAATTCATATGTTCAGTTAAATAGTCAATTTTTGAGATGTTAATCTTTCCTTTAATCACCCTTCATCAATGAGATTATTGGACTGAATTCATGAAGTAAAATAGAATGGAATCTGGAAGGTGAAAGACTTCTTTCAAAAACTCGCTATTTTCAGAAATTCTAAAGAAATTTTTTTGGAAAGTAACCGTTTTTGAACAAAACGATATTCGAACCAATGATTAGATATAAATTACATAATTTTCAAATTCACCTGTCTGTTTTGTAGACTTTGATATTAAAAAAAAGTGTATGACGCTTTTTGGGTCTCAACTTAGTATTTATTGAAAATTCTAAGTAATGGATGTCTTTTGATAAAAAGTTGCATTAATATCGACATTCTTCCAGAGACAACTTTTCTATTGAGGTATTCTGCTTCAAACTGATGTCTAAAAAGATGATTTATAGTCATTCTGACAGATGATTTTCCAGTTATCTAGTTGACTTGATAACAAAAGTTTCCGAAAAAATTCATTCGATTCCTTGAATATGAATATACCTAAATTATTAATTAACGGAAAACAGAAAAATTGATATGATTTAACTGAACATGACCACCTTGTACCAAAAAATTATGATACCACAGCTTCCTATACATCTTTTGGACTCAAATTGTTTTATCTATCTACTCAAGATCTATCTTGCTATTGTGAGATTCAAACATGGACGTATATTCACACTATAAAAATGCGGAAGAATTATTATTGAATACCTTTATTTTACTTATTGGGCTGTTTTCAGCAATTCTTTTATCCTCGTCATTCCAAATTGAAAGGAATTTTCGATGTATTGTTATATACACTATCATTGTTGCAAAATATTTATGAAGAAGCTTGTTATACCTGTACACCATAATATTTTAGAAGTGGATAGTTCTCAATATTTCTCTTACTCTCACATCCTCTACAGAGAGAGGCATTTTCCGATGATCTTCAAAAAGTTCTTCTATAATTAACTGTTTTACGTGTAGAGTAACGCAGTTTCAATTAGGTACTCGTTTCATAATTCGTATGAAAATTAAGCATGAAGATTTAAAACAAATTTTTAGATCGTCTGAGTAATTAAAATATCTCGATAATATCAATTTGTGCTTGATTTGATGTTTTTGAGAAGTGCTAAGTTTTATTTTTTTTTTGTCATATAAAAAAGAGAAATTGAGTATTGCAGTAAGAAGAGACAAGAAGAATCTCCGTTCAATTCGTGCAGATAAACTGAAAGTTTTACTATAAGAATTGACTTAACTAAATAGAATTAATTTATTTAAGTAGATAGATACGTTAAAAATTTAAAACGATATTGTCATGATTTTTGAAAAAGTCCAATATGACGTTAAAAATTGACTTTTTTGAGGTAGAACTATTTTCAAAAATCCTTTACAAAATATATAAAAATTGTTTTTTAAATTTAACCTCTCGACAGGATACGTTAATGAAAATGAAAGATTTTTGAAAAAAAGTCACATCGACTCAGTGTTATTCTCACAGTTCAGTCATTCAAAATTAATATGAACTTTGACAGATGCACACAGAATATCCAATGTTTTTTAGAAACAAAATCTTAAAAAAATATCATATTGATTTTTCCAGTAAACAATGATGAGAACATTCATTTTGTAAATTTAGACAAAAAAGTTTTATTTCTAGAGAAGATATCGATTTTTCGCCATAAATCTTTGAATAGAGTAATTGAGTTCAAATGAAATTAGCCAGAACAAAGACCAAATACATGAGACAAATATCATAACTAACAACTGGATGAAATTGACAAACAAATAGAAAAATACAGAAAAATAATAATAGTTTCATAAGCGCGCGAACATTTAAAAAAAAAAAGTCACACATACATACACAAGAATAAAGACGAGAAAAAGTAAACACCACATCGTTTTTACTCTGATCAGAACACATAAATTGATCAATGATGTTTCTTTACTAAACTAACATCATATCTCAAACCGAAATAATAATATTAAAAAGAAGAAACATGAAGTACATAACATTCAATTTTTTTTTTGTCCATTCATTCATTCCTTTGAAGAATTGCATTTATAGAAAAAAGAAAAAGAAGAGTAAGAACAAATTGAATAAATGACAAAAAAAAAAAACATATACAAATGCGTGAAAAACGTTTTTTTCTCTGTGTATGATAACAACGAAGGAGAGAAAGAGATATAGAGAGAAAAAACATCTGACATTTTATTTATTTTGTTTTCAGAGAAAAAGAGATTTTTTACCTTTACGAGAAAAAAAACTAAAATAAGATCAACAACAATAAAATAGTTTAGCATCTTTTTGTTTATTAATTGATTCTGTTAATTGTCATACAAAAATAGAAAAAAACACACACACAACACTTCTTTGTTTATATTGTTGCACAAAAATGAACAATCAAGAGAGGAGAAAGTCTAACGTGGAAGAAATAAGAAGGGTAGAAATACTGTGGGAGATTTAATAATGATAGTTAGATATTTTCTACACTTCACTTGACTGATTAATTATTGCTGTTTGAATTGATTGAGTTGTTTGATCATGATAAAATTGATTCTGTTCATTAGATTTAACTAATTGAACATATGAATAATGTTTGACGACTTCTTCATTATGATTGTTAATTATTGTGTTATTATTTGCATCCACATCAGACATAGTTATTGAACAATTTTCTTGTTCTTTGTACTCTTCATCTTCTTCTCCGTCTTCGCCTGTATCAACGTCCATTCTTTCACTTTCCAAAGTCATTTTATCTGTACTATTATTATCTGATATTGTATTATATGTTATATTATATAATGGTAAATATTGTAATGAATTATTGTTATTATTCTGAGTGTCACAAATATTAGTGTTATAATACTGCTGTTGTTGCTGTTGGTAATAATAATATTGCTCCAGTTGAGTTATAAACTTTCTTACTAATAAACGTTCACGTAAAGGATTTTCTGTTCGTCGTTGTCGAACACTTACAGATGGTCTTCGAAGTTTTTCATAACTTAAAAATATCATTAATGCACGTTCTTGCACATTGACGTCCATTTCACACAAAAAATAGAAGTTATTATATAAAAAAGCACACACACACACACAATACAGACACAATCTGAAAATGAGAGAGAAATAAAAATGATTATTTCTTATTTTATCAGATTAATACAGTGACCTATTTTGCTACTTTTCGTATGCCATGACTTTTTCGCACGTGTTATATCTTCACGTCTATATACATACAATTTCTTCGTTTAAATATTTTCCTGACTGATAGTGCCTCTTACAAAACGATTGTCCTAGTTTCGTAAAATTGGGCTGAGTTTCACAAAAGGTCTTGAGCCAACTTGAGCTATTCTTTTCCTCAGCTAAAGAAAGAAATCCTCAAAAAGGATTCTGACCTTTTCTGCTATATTACGCTAAAACTCTGTTAATAAACGGGAGCTAATAAGATGAACGTAGTTAAGTGCTTTCTGTCACCAAAAACACGAACTCGAAGCCTATCCAATATAACTTCCCTGCACGAACGATGACCGACTCAGCCATAATGCGATTCAGTCAGCCTTCCCTCCTCAACAAGTTATATTGACAATGGAAGGAGGTGACAGGGAGACGCACATGGAGATAGATCGACAACTTATATATTTTACAAAATTTGCTTAATAAAAATCATGATTTTATTAATATTTAGATAATCTTTGAAAACCTACTCTGAAGATGGCGCTGTTGGACACTGTATGGTGCTGCCATTAAGCTTTTGTTTCTTCCTTCCACGAGAATAATATAGTATAGATGAAAAAAGATGGAAAAAAGTCTATACTGTGAAGAAAATTTTTGTTATTGTTGCTTCTCTCTCTTGTTTCTTGATTGGGTTGTATTTACAACGACAGAAAAGAGAACCTTATACTAAAAATCACATTCGCGAAACACCCTGTCAATTTTTTCTCCTTTCTTTTGATTGTAGTTCAGCAACGACCAGTGGAATTAGCAATTAACTGTCAAGAAGATTCTGATGTGATTTAGGATTTTTAGTTTTGTTTTTGATGTCAGGAAAAAGGCATTACTTAAGACCCTCCTGTCTATCTTTTATCCTGTTAATTAACCACATTCTTCTTCTTCACGCCTTCATCACTTTAATAACGTTCACATTCCGTCTGGTGTTCATAGTCTTTCTCTTCATACAGTTCATCCATCGGGTGTTTATACATCTGACACTGGCGGGAATAAACTACCAGAACTACCTTGATGAATGTACTTGGGTGTGAGTACTTATTTACTAGCAAATTTCCAAAAAGCATTTGACAAGTATTGTCAAAAAATACTACTCAATAAATGCCTGAAAGCAAGTGCTGGGTACTTGATTTACTGGTTGAACCTTCCACAGCTACTTGAGCAAATTACTTCACAAGAAGATAAAGTAATTCAAGTACTTGATTTACTTGCAAAAAAGCGAAACTTGTGAGAGTACTTGAGCAATTACCTGCATGCAAATACATTCACTGGGGTAGTAATCAGTTTTCCTGCTTTGTTATTATGGAAAATAACGCTATTTTTGTATCTTTTATAGAAAAATTCAGCCATGTTTTTTTAGTCATGTTAGTTCTTTTTTCTTTACTTTTATCTTTTATTTTTATGTTTCTTAAATTGTGACTGTCATTTTAGCTTTCTATTTATTTTTTTCTTCATTCTCGCTACTCTTTCAATAGGTTAACCTTTGTTTTTATAAATTGAATGAAATATTTCTTTGATGATTCTTACTTCTGTTATCTGTAGATATATTCGTATCAAAGAATGTCAAGATGTAGGGGTGTCACGGACGATGAAGTTCTTATCTGTTGACGTAAGGTTTGTCCAAGAGTGTGAGTTATCAAGACTATAAAATGAATTATTGTACTGAGAGATATTCTTCAAATTGCTAGTAAAAACGTTATTCTTACTGTAAATAATTGTTTTGAGCATCATTTAAAATGCAGCAATTCAAACTATAATATTTATTTATTATTACTTTTAGATTATAATCATTTTTGTGATGAAAGCATATTACGAGTATGGCAAACGAACGAAAATCGAAAGAGTGTGTACAAATAAACAATAGATCTCTTTTGATAATCTAAATTATTTTCATTTTCTTTATTTCAAGTGAACATGCATTTTTAATAAAAATTCTAAGCGATTTGGAAAAAAGTGATAAAATAAAAGATGCTCAACTTGAAGAAAAAACATTGGATAGTTTCCGGTTGGTATCAAGATTTACTTCTTTTCTTTTTCCACCATATTGATTGTATATTTTAGTACGAAATATATAAATAAAGCAAAGTTTTCCAATCATCTAGAAAACAAACTATTTTTGAATGTACGTTAAATTTTAACTATGGTTTTATGTTTTAACTTTTTATATATATATATATATTCTGTTTCAGATTTTCCGTTATTTAATCAAAAAAAAGTTTTGCAATGGGTAAGCGAAAAAACGACAAGAAAAAAAGTCGATAATCGATCACGTTTCTTTTTTTGCTTTGTAAAGTGTTGATTCTAATGCAAAAAATGCATCATTAGAAGTGTTTCAATGCAGTCGGATATTGTTACGTGATACGGAATATCAGAATATATTTATTCAGGAAAATAGAATGATTGGTATAAAAACGGTAAGACTATTTTAGAACATTTGAATAATTAAAGTAAACAAATATATTTTTTCTAGCAATTAGATTTTTATATTAGTTTGCATACAATCGATTTAACAGAAAGTGGTGAATTATGTAGTAATAATACAAATATATCAACTCAAATCCTTAAAGACATACTAAGTAAAATATATGATCTGATTGTAAAATAAATAAGTTAATAAATAATTTTTAATTTTTAGATATTTTATTAAAACTCATAACGAATGAAAATTGTCGTACAGAATATATTATTAATAGTAAAGTATTAGAGTCAATTAATCGTTTACTCAATAGTTCACCAGATCTCTCATTAACTCAAGATGTATTAAGATTATTAATTAACATGACAGAACGATCGTACGTATTATATAGTTCGAGTCAAATTTATGTAATGTTTAACGTTTTTTTCTCATTTGTTAAGAGAAGTGTATTTACAAGAAATTGCTCGAAATGATACCCCATATACTTTATTAAATATTTTATCTTATGAAGATCTTGAAACTAAACAGTAAATTGTTGTTGTTGTTTTTCTTAAAGATTAGAGAAAATCTATTTTTGTTTCTTCCTTTTTTTAGATTGGCTCTTCAGCTCATTGCTAGTTTACTTGCACAGACACAAGTAAAAGAGTATTTCCATGCATTAGTCGATTTTTTACATACATTCATTAGGTAAGTTGATCAATGATAATAAATTAGTTTATCCATTATCGTTTTATTTTTTATTCTAGTCTATTGAGTCATGACAATGTCAAGCTTTTATTTCACGCTATATGGGGTCTAACACATTTGGCTGACAATGAAGATTTTAGACGACTGATACGACTAGAAGGAGCATTGCCTTTATTAGTGACAATACTAGAGTAAGTCTGTGGATACACCTGGTATTTGTAAAATTATGTGCTCATTTATTCCGATATACATTTAACTCTTTTTCTCTAATTGGCTCATTTTCCTTAATATCTTTTTTTCTCTAGAAAACGTGATTTTGATTATTGTTTACCTTCGACAACGAATAAATCAAAACATGGTAATGGTAGTATATCAAAGAAACAGTCACTTGGAGTATCAGAGGTAAGTGACAAAACTATCCGTTTAAAGTATAGTAGAACTAGTCATTTTTTAAAAATAAAAAAAGTAGATTGTGTCGACTATCATAATTATTTTCGGATATAGCAAATCAACATGTTGTTGTTTTTTAGCCAACCAGTCGTGATCAATTATTTGATTTACAAGTTGCTTGCTGCACTTTGTTAGCTGAATTGTCGTATGATTACACAAACGGACAAACAATAATTGATAAAAATGGTATTTATGTCATAGCTATGTTATTGTTTCCCGAAAATGAAGAATATCAAAAGTCTGAGAAATTTAATCATTTACAGGTAAAATTTGAGAAAAATTTTTGCTAGTTTACTTAATAAATAAAATTATTTTTTGTTTTTCTAGCGTAATGTATTTCGAACGTTACGTTATTTATTTCCATTGAATAAAAATCGTGAACAATATAAAAAATTATTTACACCACAGACGTTTGAATTATTTCTTGAAATTGGAAATTTTCAACGTGATTTAAGTTTATATAAAAAATTAACGGAAACTTGGAATAGCACAGTATCGTTTGATGAAATGATAGAAATAAAAACAAAACGTTTACGATCATTGGATCCAAAACGTGAACCAACACGTTATGTTAAAGATTATGGGGTATTCGATTGTCTCGGATCGGGTGCATTCGGTTCGGTATATCGTGTGGCTAAACGTAATGCAACAACAATGTGCGCAATGAAAGAAGTATGTAAATATATGGCAAGAATATATAAGAAAAGTATAATTGATTTTATTTCATTTTAGATCGATAATCGGTCATTCCGCTCGGGTGGCGATGTGGAGAAAAGTCTCGGAACAAGGATCAATGAAGTGAAAATAATACGTGAGGAACTTCGTCATCCAAATGTTGTTAGCTACTACAGGATGTTTCATGAAAGTGAGTATTTATATATGTTCAATTTATTTGAAAAAATGCATGGTTTCGATCTAAAAAAGTTTGTACGATCGAGACTTTTTGAAATAATCAATCTCCATACGATGTTTTACTAGTCAGTTTTTATCGTTGAATAGTATCAAAAAAATATATTAAAGTATCGAAAGTGAAGAATTTTCTGACAGTTTAATCCTTTTCATGGATTTGTCTAAGTATTATTTCTGTTATATTTTTTCTATTTAGATGAAAAGTTGTATATTGTTATGGAATTGATTAGCGGTAAGTTTGATAGAGTAAAATATTAGTAAATATGGATTTCTATTTCTTTTATTTGTTAAAGGCTCATCTTTACAAGATTTTCTTACATTACTTAAAGAAACCAGATCAACAATGAGCGAAGAAAATATATGGAAAGTTTTCGTACAAGTAAGCTTATACAAATCATCGTAAACAAGACTGAAATATCTCTCTATATTACAAAAAAAAAAAATCTGTCTGTAAAATTTTGTTGAACTTTAGCTTATCCTGGCATTACGTTATTTGCACAAAGAAAAAGGCATTGTGCATCGTGATTTAACTGCAAATAATATAATGCTTGACGATGAATATCGTGTTAAAATCAGTAAGTAAACATACGCATCTTCTTTTGGACATGAAAATAAATTTCACTTATTTTTGTTTAGCCGATTTTGGTTTAGCAAAACTACTTGATAATGACTGTAGTAAAATGACTTCCGTCGTTGGTACGATGTATTATGCATGCCCAGAGATAATTCAGCATTTGCCATATAATGAGAAAGCTGGTTAGTTTATACTCATGTTACATTAGAAAAATAAAACTATTAATATGTTTTTTTCTTCGACAAAATAGATATATGGTCGCTAGGCTGTGTGTTATATCATATGGCGACACTTGTTCCGCCCTTTTTTACGTCAAATTTATTATCTTTGGCTAGTAAAATATGTGCAAGTGATTATGATCAACAACCATTAAAGCATTATAGTGATCGTATTCGACATGTTATTGTCGAATGTTTATGTATTGATTCAAATCGTCGTCCAGATATCTATTCTGTTGCACAGTTATGTACCGAGTATATAATGATATATACAGATCGTGCATGCACGAATATACAAAAATTAGAAAAACGTCTTAGACAGCAAGATTCTAAACGTTTAAATTACCATCAACGGTGTTGGAGTTGTTCAAGTGCAAAAGAAAGTATTGTTAACGGCGGCGATGTTAGTTTTGATGATCAACAATCGATTGATACAGTCAAACAATATACAGATGACTTTGCAGGAGGTATGACAAAAAAATGTCGGACTGTGTCGAAAGTATAATGATTGACTTTTCTTTATCGCAGTATCTGATAATGAAACACCCGACGTTCCTAGCGCTGGTAGTCGCAATTCCAGTTCGGCGGGCTATTCTAGTGGAGGACAACCAAAGTCTTCATCTCTCGCCATTGGCAGACCTAGCCTGCGTCGTACAGTAATTGAAGGCAGACAAACNCAGATGACTTTGCAGGAGGTATGACAAAAAAATGTCGGACTGTGTCGAAAGTATAATGATTGACTTTTCTTTATCGCAGTATCTGATAATGAAACACCCGACGTTCCTAGCGCTGGTAGTCGCAATTCCAGTTCGGCGGGCTATTCTAGTGGAGGACAACCAAAGTCTTCATCTCTCGCCATTGGCAGACCTAGCCTGCGTCGTACAGTAATTGAAGGCAGACAAACAGGCTCCGAGCAAAATGAATGTCTGTGTTATAACGGGTGTTACAGAAAGAATGACGTAGTTTTTATTTTTATTTTTTCTCCTCTTCCTCTGCACTCACAGAGCTCATCTTATTACCAAACTATTCCCCATTCATTTCTGAACAAAATGATGTACAGAAGATGATCCTAATGTTCGAGACGCTGTCTTAATTGAATAAACATCGAAATGTCCTAGAAACTTAAAAAGTTTAACACAAAAAAGTGTATTTCGTCAGTATGAAGTTGAATGTATGCCTTGTCTCGAGCAAGTAGACCAAAATGTAGTCCTTCAAATTCTCTATCGATTAGCTGTAATGCGGATTTTCTATCGTTATTTTCGTGTCTTCAATAATATTTTTTGCAAAAGCCCTATGACCGTTTTTTCAGGTTTTTCAAACTGAACTGTGGGGCTATTTGTAAAATGAACATTCCTCAGACAAGACTGAACCAATCCGACTCCTCATCCTTGCGTCATTTTGCAGACAAATGTTTGGTCTACTCACCTCATGTGCGAAACGCTTGATGTAACTTTTCTGACTAATGGAGATGCTGACACTAGCGCATTTTGTTCAGTAATCGCTGCTAGTTATTAACTAGTCATTTTTGCCAAATCACACCGATGGAGAGGAAATGAGCCTTGTGCCATCTGAAAGAGGATATCTAAACGTTCTAAGAAATGATGTGCTATCTCCTTCCTATCACTTTCAAAATGGACTTCAAACTTCAAAATTATCGTAGGAAAAACTTTTAATTTTTTAAGTCTTTACATTTCGATGTGCAATTAAGACAGTGTCTCAAACCTTAGGATCATCTTCTATATATCATTTTGTACAGAAATGAATGGGAAATGTTTCTATAATAAGGTGAACTCTATGGGTGCAAAGACCGAGGAGAAAAACTGAAAATAAAAACTACGTCATTTTTTCTGTAACACCCATTCGTTTGTAAAATAAAAACAATTTTACATATCTATCTATTTTTCTAGGTGTATTTATTAATACTCGATCACCTGATGGTTCAAATATTGGAAATATATCTAGCGATGGTGGTTATGACAGTGGAAATAGGAGGAGTGTATATCAATCTCCCAGTCCATCGACACCTGATCGCAGGTATGTCATATATTATCTTTCTCCTTCTTAGAGATTGATATTGGGAGCTTTTCGATCAACAACTGTCAAGTACTGTAAAATAATACTGGATTTGACTCTTTTACGACAGGAGAATTACGATGAAGTGCTTTACTTAGATTTAGATAAATATTTTGAGTTCTTTTTGCGATGGATAGGGATAACAACTCATTGGTGCGACCAAGACCTACTTCAGCTGGTTCTGCTACTTCGATAGTTATGCCCCACAGACGTTTACGTGCCACTGATCCTGTCACCCAACTGCTCGATGTTGTACATAAAATTATTTTCATAACGCAAGTAAGTGGGTTTTTTTCTCGAGATGTGTGTTTATTGATATTTATTGTCTTTTTTTTTGTAGACTCCACCAACAATTAGTGATAATAATTCATGTCGGCGGCTAATCGAGCGTTACAAACGTTTTTTGTTTTCGAAACGAACATCACAAAATCTTAAAAGTGAATTATCAAAATTAGCCAGTCATTCAATGGATTGCATTCAATTCGATGTAAGTTCGAACAGCAGTTCAACATCGGCAGTTGAGCATTTAGTATTTAAATCTATTACAACGAATTCATCTGCTGCTACAAACAAGGCACTAAATCCTAAAACTAGTATGTACTCTCTTCAGTAGTGTATCAGTAAATAAAAGATTGTTACTTGCTTAGTTGATTTGACCATCCATGAAAATGATGGATATATTACTTATGAACAAATGATGAGTTTTATCGAACAAATTTTACAAGAAACCAGTTATTATAATCAGACAACAAGGTATGACGTGCTAAACTTTTGTGAATACTAGATGCTCTTTCATTCTGATATTTTAGCGATTCGCTACCTCCACCATCAACGTCACAAAAAGCGAGACTGCCATCGGGAAAAAAATCACATTCCATTCATCAATCCGTCCAAGAATATTCTTGAGAATGTACATCGAAGCAGGATCTCATCTTCGTTTTTCTTATAACAGTGATCCTTCTCTCTCATACTGACTGTCTCATATTTTTTCTATGATATTTATTTATTAAAATAACAGTGATATATGTTCTTTTATAGTTTAAAATTTTATTTTTTATGGATATTTTTGTTCATGTAATAAATAAGAGAATGAAACGGAAGGCTGATGGATAGGCTGGTGTAAATATAAAGTTTCTGATTACATTTTTGTTTTCCAAGGCAACACAATATGTCTTTTTCGTTTGTCGAAAGTGCCCGTAAAATGTGAGAACAGTTGTCATCATCCTATTAAGCTTGAAGATCGTTTATTTCTACGTTTCGTACAACGTTTGATTTTTTGTTTCTCATATTTTACACCTCGTGAAAAGATCATGTAAGTACATGTTCAACTTGGTATTATTTTCAGAATCATATATAATGAGCCATATTCATCTCCTGGTGAGGTCGCTACATCTAGCCGTCAAACGGCTTGAAACCTGGATTATAACAGATAAGACTATAGCACCGAGATTTGGCGGCCTTATCAGAAGGTGAGTATGGCTTACAAAAAGTTACATCACTTATATCCAGCATAAACTGACGGTAGGACAGCTGTTGTTACATTGCGTATGCGAATAGAAATAAAATAGTGTGTTGCCTAGCGACATACTTTTGAAACAAGAGTAATGGCATTTTATTTTTTAATTGAGTCTTTTCCACATTCAAATGAGTTTTGCCTAAAGCAGCATATTTTCAACAGTAGTCTACCAAGATACAACCTCATAACTGTTTTGATATCCTACAAAAATAGTCGATAATGTCAAAAAATTTGACGTCTGTTCCTCACTGAGTTTGAGTCTACTACATCATCAAAACATACCCGAACAGTTAACGTATTTTTCGTACTTGCGTTAAGCATTTTCGATTAGGTGGGGGAAGGTGGAAGAATTCCCCCACCTTGTTTGAAATGAATTACTCACTTGAGAAAAAAATTTACTCACTCAGAAAAGTTGACTTTTTTTCTTTTGGTTATCAGCTAAATTTTTTGAGAAAAAACGTGCTCAGAAAAGTTTTTGGAGTTGTTCAATAAAACTTCCTCCACCTTGCCAAGGTTATATCGAAAACTCATGATGCGTTTCGTTCTTTGATCTGAAGCTTTTTGATTTGTAAAAGCGCATTTTTAACAGCTTTCCTAAGTTTCATAAACTTAAGTTCATGCTGAGACAAATGTTTAGTTTGTTTTAGTATGTCGTTTTACAGCATTCAGCTGAGAACATGCATTTTAGAGAACCACCATTTGCTAAAAGCTTCATTAAAATCGAACAGTTCATCGAAAATAGATTCCTGAACGATACATCAATTTTAGACTAAAGTAAATATGGATTCGAGCTTAACAGATTTACTCTTGACTAGCTACTTATCTGAACAATTACGCACAAAGTCATCCTATATTTATGGATGGACTCCACCATCTCATAATTTTTCAACGCTTGTCGATAGTTCTACTCACAATCCATTGTTATCACTTGAGAAAATTTATAATCATCTACAACAAAATATCTATTCATCAACAGCAACAACAAACACCGTTCCATCTGCTAGTGTTTCAACTGTGGGAGGTGATGATAATTCATCAGTTATATCAACAATCGTTGGAGAAGACAAAATCGAGACAGATTCACAAATAAGTATAACTGTGTGTGATGAAGCTAAAACAGTGAAACGTCAGTTTACGTGTAATCGTACATTACTTATACGTGAAATGCGTTATTTCAGTGATTATTTAAAAGATGAACCCGAACAATTAGAAGAAGTTGATATTAGTGTCCATTGTGATTTAGACATATTTCAATGGTTAATGAATTATGTTAAACGAAATAGTCATAATCAACTCGAACCACAACTTGAACCACGTATTGCCATATCCATATTAATATCATCTGATTTTTTAAAAATGGAAAAATTAGTGGAAAAATCTTTAGATTATATTCATACTCATATAAGTGAAATAATTCAAACAAATTGTAATATGGCTTCTATTCCCGAACATCTTGTTAAATCCTTAGTACAATTATTTTCATCACCATATGAAATTGAATCAATAAAAGATCGAAAAGATAAAATTCGTAGTAAATTATTTGAATATTCACTTGAACATATGTTAACATCAACATTGACAAAATTAATTCGTTGTGCTACATGTCAAAATATTATGACAATTGAAGATATGATGTTATTACCATGTTTAGAAGAAAAAATGTTTATCAAACAAAATGGTAAATTATTTTATCAACATAAAATCGATTCTAAATTTGATATTAATCAATGGATAAAAGATATATATCAACGTTCAGAATTATCGTGGCGTGATACATATTGGATGGTTTGGTAAAGTTATTTTACTAACCTATGGCGCAAAGCTCTTGTTAAAAAATTCAAATTCATATTTTTCTATTATTTTTAAGGTTTTACAAATAATTGTTTTAGAAATTTTACAGGATATTTTGTTTTGGAGTTATAGATATTTCCCTGGCATGCTTCAAATTATCACTTGAGCAGGAGAAAAGGCTATTTTTCTACGTTCTGCTATGTTTTAGGTGATAAATTTTATTTTTTTGAATGCTAAATTGTAGAACAAACGAGTCTCTACAGAATGGGATCTTATGTGATTTGAAGAAAGAACACTATACATATTCTGTGTGAAGCTGCATACCATGTAAAACGCGAACTTAAACAAAAACGGAATTTTGAAAAATACAGTTTTTAGTAGAAAGTGTGTGATTTCTTTCCGAAAAGTTGTAGAAGATCGTACAATAAATTATTTTATAGAGAGATTTTCATTCGACAATTCTGTATTCCAATAAAATTCTTTTACAGCCAATCTGTATCAGTTACATCAAATGTTTTTAAAAGAAACTGGTTTTTTACGCCGTACAAGTGATATTTTGAAGCGTGTCAGAAAAAAAATATCCTGTAAGATTTGTAAAGAAAAAATATTTGAAAAGCTTAAAAAATTAAGATTCTAAAATTCACGTTTTGATTTGAGAAAAGGTTTTCTTAATAGAGAAATATGAGTTTGAATTTTTAAGAGGCCATTAGATTCATTAGAAGATTAAATTTATCTATCATTTTTTCTTTCAGGTTGCATATGAATAGTGGTTACTGTGATCGATGTAAAAATTATTTTCGTTATGTTGACTATAATCAATGCTCGTATCATTCATCATCAACTGTCACCAATGGTATATATGCGTGTTGTGGAAAACAATCAAATGGTTTCTCTCTATTTTTGAATCAATATCAATCGTTTGAAAATGGTGGTGGATGTCAAAATGGTGATCATGTTTTGGATGATGCATCCGAACAGTTAACAAAACTTAATAAATCTGAATCATTATTAAAATTAATCAAACAGCAACAAACCATGAAACAATTGCCTGATACTGCTATAAAACAAAATTTTCTATTTCAAGTAATTGAACAATCATTGTATACTAATAATACTCTGACTAATTCATCCTCTCTGATTACTCTAAATACACCTAATACAATGACAATGGTGGGAATGATTGGTAAGAAACCATCGAGATCTTTATGGACATATTTAATTGATACGAATCCATTTGGACCTAATTTAAAATATCAATGGGATGCTTGTAAATCAACACGATGGAATCAAGATACACAACGAGAAGATGAACATCGTCGAAATGATGTTATGTTACGTTATATTCAAAATGAACAAATGGCAAAATCAACCATTAATCGTAATGTACAAACAAAAGATTTATCACTATCAAATACAAATACACCATCAGTCAATTTTCCCGGTGGATTCTATTGTAGAATAGAAAATGATTGGAGAATGCGTACTTCAAATACAACAACTGCCAATAATTCAAATAAAGATAGTCCAAACTCCAGTCTTTTAAATCTTAAAAATCGACAGCGTTTATTAAAGTAAAGTTTCAATCAAGATTCTTCTGACAAAATTTTTATCCACTTTTAGTAAAAATGTAGTGGTTAGTTGTAATCAGATATCTTTATCAAAAGACGGGCTTTCATTTTCTACAATATAATTTATCGGTATAGTAATCAGCATAATTTAGTTGATTTCTGTGAAGTTTGATTACGCCAATTTTTTGGAGAAAACTGATCACGTACGCGTCAATCTCAATTAGTCACTCCTATGATTTCTGACTTCTAAACGTCGGTTGCTCTTCGGTCGAATGGCTTCTATGAAATAATTAGTTGTTTTTAAAGAGATCTTTATGAGTACTTCTTCAAGTGTCAAAAATTCATCATAACTATTTTAGTTTGATAACGAAACAACTTAAAAACAATCGTTTTTTTCCAACAGATAGTTGACACAGCTTGCTTCATATCAAAATATATTCAGCATACAGATATACGTACTTCTAAATAAAAGTTTTCTAGCACCATTAGTTTTGATGTTGAGCAATTCCACTGTTGATATTCAAGTTAACATTGGATTAATATTTAATTTATGGACTCGAAGTAGAAACCGGTGGAGTGGCTTCAGATCCCGTCCCGTCCCGAGGAACAGACGGATTCGAGACAAAAAATAACTGTACGAGCTTAGGCTTACAGGGTCGAGACAAGTCGCAGAAAAATGCTGTACCGTAAGTTTTGTCTTTGGATTGTAATTATGCTGCAACTTCAAATGTTGAATTCTTGTAGTATTATCAAATCAAAACTGTAATTTATAATAACTAATAAAAATTAACCTGGAGAGGCGAAATAGTCTGGATTTAAACTTAACAAGATGTTTCATATCTAAAACTTGGTTTACGATTCTTTCCTTTCGATTCTGAGGTAGTGAGTGGATGTAAAACAGTTTTTTATACAGCAACTTTTAAGTTTAGAATCAAATAAATTAGGCTTGAATTTTGTCATGCGGATTTTGCAAAAAAAAGTTGGAGACTTTAATCATCTCTTGTGACAGTTACGATTTATCTCAACAGATAGAATTTTTCAAAAAATGACGAGACAAAAAAGAACAATCGAACTCTGAACAAAACTATCAGCTCAGATTTTTGAAAAACTCACTTTTATTTTTCTCAAAAAATTTCTAGCTGTGGATCCCAGACCCACAACTTCAGAAAATGTTTTTTTCAGATTTTTAAAATGTACATCAGTCGATGCAGTTCTTCACACTGATTACAAATACCATATTGGTTTTGATCAAAAAATTTTGTGGAAACGAGAAGTTCTTTTGTGTAATACAGACGTTTTTTTTACATGTATTAAGTTTTGACCATCAGGCGAGTCTAAGAACGAGCGTGACATAAGCAAGCAGGTATTTTCATGTGTAAAAATGTTTGCTCTATCTAACACATGTAAAATAAGAGCTATCCTACAAGTAGGCAAAAACTGCTGTTTTAGCCTACTTTTTCAGCTTACGACCAAAAACTAAAATAATATTCAATTTTTAAGATATTTTGCTGTATAATTAAGTCTCTATCCAATGAGTTATGTACATGATTCGACGCAGTTTTTCGTGCTCAGACGTGAAAACAGAAAATGCAGAACATGACCAACATTCAAAAATACAGGGAAAATACCGGATAATTTGTTTTCTTTAAAATTTTTCCCTACGAAATCTTTTTCATTAGGGTATAAATGATCAAAGTATAAGGAACTTTGAGTATTCTATTCATTTAACCGAGTTTGGAACGACTTAGAAGATTTTCTGTGAAGTCCTCTTAGGAAAGACCGAAACCGCCTGTCGCAGATTCTTTTCACCTTTTTGACAGTTGGTCGAAAGGAAAATTGGTATTATTCGTAATACCATCATGATTCGAATCCATAAATTAAATATTAATCCAATGTTAACTTGAACATTAACAGTGGAATTGTTCAACACCAAAAACTAATGGTGCTAGAAAACTTTTATTTAGAAGCATGTATATCTGTATGCTGAATATATTTTGATATGAAGCAAGCTGTGTCAACTATCTTTTGGAAAAAACGATTGTATGATGTTTGGAAGCTGTGTAATTCAATCAACATCAGTTCATATCACTTGAAAGCTTTAGAATTTATTCAGTTTATCCAATAGCATCGGTACAAGTATCAAAAGTTTGTGTTTTATTTTCTAAATTTCTAATGATCATATGCTTAGTTGGCATTCTGATAAACAATCTTCACTTCTTTCACCTTTATAGACAATCCTCATGCGACATAAATCGATGAAAAGAATCGCATGAAAATGGAACAAGAACGGCACAATCCTGTTAGCCAGAACAATCAGGATATTAAAGGGATAAAAATGGCTGTTCAGTTATAACAGTCAATCCATAAAATTTGTTTCTATTCTTCTAAAAATGAGTTAAAATCTTCTTGAACTTTGTTTATTATAATAGTTTTTAGCATCGGTTATAAAAAAGCTTAATGCTTGACAGAGGACAAATCACAAACGAATACAATGTAAATTAATGCCAGTAGGAGCGGCGCAACCATATGAACGGTAATGATGCCATCCTCAGTTATTTTGAAAGTTCCACTAGGACACATTTTTTTTCTGCATCCCAAAGTTCTTAGAAATATTTATCTCCACAGTTTTGTGACTGAATCCGCTGCCAATTAGTAGCTTCTATTTGAAACCTATGTTATAATTTACAAAAAAACATTCATCTCATTCTCTTCATAGTAAATAAATAAACATGTTGTGATTAAAACTGAATAAACAGCAGCAAAAAATAATGACTAGATAGAAACATTAAAGAATACATTCTCAAATTAAAATAAAATCATAAATGTACCGTTTGTACACTGATCCTTAATCTAGATGTTTCAGATAAATTAGTCGATAATCATTTTTTCTTTATTGTTGAAATGATTTCTTTAACATCCATACACCGTAGACCATAATAATTATCGAAATAGCTAAACCCACCATTGGATCCAAATACCAAACGTTGGAATTGAGATTGTACACGGTAACACTGACTGTGACAGATAGAGCCATGAAAGCCGAAATACTTGTGTTAAATGCATCAGAATAGGCTGAGATAACATTTAATTTTTTGGCAACAATCGCCTTGGCGAATGCTAACACTCCAAATACAATAGTTTGAACAGCTGCGGCTATGACTAAATAACGATTTGGTATCGGTTTAATTTTGTGTCGAATATCCAAAACAGAATCAAGAAATACACCTAAACCAGAAATGAAAAATAATATTGACATGATACGTAGTACATAAATTTCCCGTTTTAATTGATTAACTGAACTGACAAAACGCCAAATAATAGCGATAAATGATAAAACATCGAGAATTGTATCAACAGCAAAACCGAGTGCTGATGCTGATTGCTCTTCAATAGCAAGAAAAAAGGTAATAACACCGCAAACAGATGAGACAACAATAGATATGATGTTCAGTGTAACAAGAGAATGTCTTGTTGTTTTATCATCATATAATGTCAGATCCTCATCATTGGATGCTTGATTTTGCTTTGTTAGGACAAGATCAAGTTTTTCATTTTCATTTGTTGAGCCTAATGTTGTTCTATTATCATTGTTAATAGTCGTCATCGACAATTTAACCGGCTTACTATTCGGTTCATAATCGAACCGTTCATAACTATTTGTCATGATCAAATGTTACTGTTCATTACATCTAGAAAGGAAATATTATAGTATGCTGTTAAGTTTTAGATTAGTCGTTGAATACCGAAACACATTGGTATCTGTTATTTAATATTAACGGCATTCATACTACGATAGTCTCGTTTTATTTAACAATATTGGTTAAAATCCTCTTCTATTAAATTCTCTCTCTCTCTCTCTTGTTCTCTACTAAAAGTGGCAAAAACAGTCTTATGTTTTATCTTTGTCTATCTGCAGAATTATAAATGGCAAAAACAAATAAAATTGGAAATGACAGGATGAATATTTTTTTCTCTTTTTCTGGTTAATAGAAAGTTTGTCCGTCATTAACAGAAAAAATGGGAAAACCTTTTTTAAAGTAATTTGCACTACAAAGATTTTTCAATAAAACTATTAAAATTTTCAATAGTATATGTTATTAAAATGAAGAAAAAAGAGTTAGTTGTTCTTCGCCTTCTTTTTGTCTTACTTTACTTTAAAAAAACTCTTTCCAATCTAATTGGTTTTCTTGATGAACAACGAAAATAAAAGACATTTTCCAACGTTTTATATCGATTTTAATAAATCTAAAACGTCTCGACAAGATAAAAACATATTTTTCTGCTGATCCTTCGACATTAATTAAAATTTAAAAAGAAAAATATTTTGACAATTTTTATGAGATTTTCTTTATTATTTAGCTGGTTGGTTAATTGTAAATCGTGATGTTGTTTTCAAATAAGTATTGTTCACCGTTAACTGTTGCATGTTACTTTTTCATAAAGAGTAACACATAAAGGCATAAAAATCCAGCTTTTTTTTAATATTCCGTTTACATACACACAATACAGGTGAATAATAAAAGATAATGATGGTAAAATATTAAATAGTTTGCATGTAATAGGAAATTTGCATTCTTGTATAGAAAGAGGAAAAGAAGGAAGTGAATAGAAAAAAAAAAGTAAAAAATTATTAACTTCTTCTACCGCGTTGAAGAGAAGGAGAGAGAGAGAGAGAGAGAATAAACAGAGATCAACTATGTTTTTCTCATTTAACTAATAGAGTTTAGAAAAGTGTTTCACCAACCTCTAGTTTCATATATTATAAAAAATAGCGAGAACCTATGTCAGTTTTCAATAGAGAAGTAGAAGTTTCTCTGTTAGATGAAATTGGTTACAGTTTTGCCAAAAAACAACAACAACGTAGCGTGCATTTTTTCTAAATGTTTCTTTCTCTTTTTTCTTTCTTTTGCACTACGTGCAACAAGAAGAACAAAAAATTACGTACAACAGAGAAGGAAAAAAGGATTATCTGGACATCGTTATATCTTTCCAAATCTAGTTAACTAATATTAATAATGTGTCCATGAAACTTATTCACAAGAGGAGGTTTTTCTGTCTATAGTCATAAAAAGAATTTATGCTTTTGTAAAATACAATATACCCTGGTAATAAAACCTCTTCTCCAAATTATACGATATCAAGAACATATTTTCTTTTAAGAACTTACAAATTTCAACATCCTTTCTACCTTTAATTAAATATATTAATTTCTATTTTACCTAGATGTGTTTGTTTCTATTCTGTAATTAAATGAATACACATAGATCAGGTGTATATAACGAGAGGTTTATTTCTACTTCTCAACATTTTATTTGCCAATACAATAAAATGTGATAGACAATAAAACAAAAAAAGAAGAATCTATACTACAATTGTTATAGCACAACGTGTTTTTTATACACCTACTTTATTCTATGTTTTAAATATAGTCAGTTAGTTATTCCATATTTTTTTGTTGTTTCTTCTTCTTACATACTATTGAATTTTATTTTTTCTGTTTAGTGTCTGTTTCATCTTATGATCAACTTCAATTACCGTTATACTTGAATAAATTTTTTTTTTTGTTCGCTTAGATAGATTTGCTTTCTGTCTTTTTTCTTCTTCTTTCATAACGAATGTTGATATGCGCAAATGAGTTTCTGTAGGCAATTAGATCCATTTTTCATTTTTTATTTTTTTTAGTTTTAGTTGGTGTATAGTGAGTGTCTTTAAAAAAAGAGAAACAGAAGAATCTCTGTTACATGTGTAAAATTTCATTATATCTAACAAACAATAACTACAACATACTATCCGGAAACTGTTACTTACAGGCACTATTCTCTATTCTATCTACCACTTGATTTTGATCTTTCATACATTATCTATTATTGTTGAGCGAATGAGAGAAAAAAAATAAGTGAAAAAGATATAGTATCGAATAGAGTATAGTAAGCACTGACTAATTTATTTTTCTTGTAATCGAGATATACAAAAGAGGAAAAAAAAATAAAAGAAGAAAACAATCTAGAAAAAGAAGAAAAACCTTATTCAATATATCATTCACTTTTCTCTTATGAAATATATCCATTTGACAGGAAGACACAAAGGAGGTCTACTTACTTACCACCTAGGTAGTCATTATCCAAAAGAACTTTGTTGTAAAATACTTCAAAGACAAACCATTGTAATAATAATAAGAAAAAAACGAAAAAATAATCATACTTTCTCTGGTATAATATTTTGGAGTCTTTAGAGAAAACCGTTTGTTTCCATCTTTTTTTTCCTTTGTTAATCTAAATTAATGTCAATATTAATCAATATTATCAATAATCGAAACAATAATAACAAAAATAAATTGATTCTATTTCTTTAACAACTTTACTACAAAATACTTTTAGAAATAATCGTGCGTTTAGTTAATGCAGAAAATCAAATGTTCAAACACAATAATGCAAATATTTTTTTTATGATCAAATATCGATCTAAAGTCCAAAAGCTAAAATTTTAGACAGATGAACATATACAAATATATGTAGAAAATGACTTTAGCATAATTTTTCATCCATTTATTTGTGAATGAAACCGATTCAATTAGAAAGACGACATTCAGCAACATTTGAAATTGTATAGTAGAAATATTTGATAGATCTTTCATAAATCACTACATAAGCAAACACGTTGCTCGAATAATAAATATCTTAGACGACGATTCAATGTCTAATTATATTTTCTCATGAATCACGGCGCTATCAACTTATAAAGATCATGTATAAATGACGAGAAAAACGTTGAATGGTAGTATGCCGGTTTAAGTATGAGAACCATTTTGGATATAAAACGTAAGTTTTCCACTATTATATTATTATTTTATTGTTAAAATGCTCGAGCATTTTTCTCAAGTTTTTCTTAACTATAGGCTATACTACAGACAGTTACACTGTCTGAAAGATTTGGTTGCTATGAAAAGATAAAATACAAACGTTTCCATCGTCTCTTCATAGTCGAGCGTCTCCGTGAACAATAAATATCACAATCGAGAACCTATATAGGAGTCGCGCGAATTATACTTCCTTCTACTCAAACATAAGGAGTGATACGATTTATCATCTAGTAAAATAGTATTTAAATGTGATTCAGTCAATGAGTATTAGTATGGACAGAGATGAAACAGTGGTTCATGATGTTGATGGTAACATTCCTAATCTAGAATTCATCGACAAAAAGTTTGATTCTTCAATGAAAAGAAAATTAGCTAACGTATGTGAAACTACAGTTACTGATAACAAATCAAACAAATCCACCATTTCAGCGAACAGGTAAATGTGAATGAATCTCGCTTATTAGTTTTAAGTTTCTATTCATCAATTTTATTCCAGGAGCATGTCTTTTCACTACAGGGAAAATGTCGTACGACTGAAACTGACACTCACTTGTTAACGCTCCATTCCATTAATGGTAGTCGGAAAACGGAATAGTTTTTCTTCCTTTTCGTTTGCTCTACCACAACTATACACAATGATTGTGTTGAATCAGCTTGACTTTCGGTTTTGTGGTTTGATGATAAATATGAACTTAGAATGAAATTAGAATTTTTCGTAAGAAAACTCAATAGCCAAAATATTCACTCACTTGGTAGAAGAACAACTTTACTAAATAAATATTTATTATTATTTCTAATAGGTAGAATTTTCAGTAGAAAAAGCATAACAACAGTAGTGATGTGAATTATTTTCAAAAATGATCTTTAAATAAATCGAAACGTCGGAATTTAAAAATAAAATAAAATGATTCACACCGCTGTTGTTGTTATACTTTTTCTATTAAATAAATATATGTTAAGTATTTCTTTAACTCAATGTTTTTAAGAACTATTTCAAATAGCTGACCTTTCAATCTTTGCGTAGTACAGGTAGTTTCTAGTTAATCTCTCGTTTTAGAAATTTTCGTTCCACTTTTGATGAATTTGATGATTATGCTGATAAAATATTCAATTATTTGGGTGATGCATATAATTCTTATAATTCACCTAATTCATTGTCTGTCATCGATCAAGCATCAGTCACTGAAAAAAATGATGATGAAATAGATTCTGTCTATGAGCGACGAGAAGAGGGTGAAGATGATACTTGTGAGTTGAGTGAGCAGAACGCTGATTCGAAACCGTTATTATGTTTGAGTGCATTAGCTGAAAAAAATTTTCGATGTTCATTATGTTCATGTATGTACAAATACAGACGAGATTGTGTCACACACATGAAACGAAAACATTCTCATGATACTATCTGTGGCTCTATTTCTCAATACATTCAACGTATCAATGCACCACAAATACTAACAACAGCTACAAAAGATAAGACAAATCAACAATTGGAACACCAAGAATTATATTCAACGATACAACATTCGACAAATGATCGTATCCAAGAACTCACCAGAAGTGATGAGAAACAATTTTCTTGTCCGTATTGTACATTAATCTCCAAATCGACAAGTAGTGTTTATAAACATCAAGCACGAAAACATCCATCATTTCCAAGGATTGTGCATAAATATTCGTGTGAAGATCCTATGAAACGAATATTAATCGCTGTTCTAAAACAAAAAACGTTAAAAAGTAAGTTGTAAGTTTAACGTTAAGGTATTACTGCTTACTTCAATTTAGAAGCTGAAAGAAGCGTTGATTCAATGCTACAACAAAATTTTAACCATCAGAATGAATTAAGTAAGACAAAAACAAGATTTCAAAATCGCAAGCACAATGCCTGCCTTTTTAAGGTTTTATACCAGCATATACATCTTCAGCGACACGTTTTGGTTGTCCGTATTGTAATTGTATTGTTGCAAAATCACCTTCGACTGTATATAAGCATCAGATGTTAAAGCATCCAGAAAATCCTACAGAAGTAATTAGATTTGGTGATACTGAACCAAAAGCAAGAAAACGGCTAATGACAAGTGTCTCAAGTTCTCACGGTAAACATGTTAATCCGAGTTTATGATACTTACATTTTTTATAGTTAATTTAAATTTTAAAACTTACCTCAACACTAAGTATCAATATGATTCTCTTACAGAATTACTATCCGAAAACGGTCTGAATGAAGATGATGTAGATAATCAACGCTCGCCAGGAGTGAAAGAAGTTCATAAAGTATCCTCTCATAAGTCATTCACCCGCAGATCTGAGATGAAAAAATGTCGATCTAAGCCAACATCTACGGTATCTACGTCATCTACAACATCGTCAACAACAAAATGTAATCATTTTATTGCATCAGATTATATTACCGTTCAAAATATTGTATTATCAAATGACAGAGTTATAAAAATATTCCAGTGTTGCATGTGTAAATATCGTGCACGTCATCGATCAAATGTTGTTCGACACGTTAAAAAAATTCATGACAACAACAACAACAACAACAATAATAGTCAAAAACAAACAAATGAATTAAAAACAACAATGGCTGCTACAGCTAGTTATGGCAACGAAGCCGATGATTGTATTGCTGAACTTGTTGACAATATCGCTGCAGAACAAATGATTAAAAATAATGCTATAAAAGAGAATAAAAGTCCCCTACGTGGTACAATACACATAACATTACCACAGTCAGCAATGAAGCGTTCCTATCCAATAAATGAGATTCATAAACGAAATTCAACTTCAATTACACAAGAAAAATTCTCATATGAAGCAACGTTACGCGCTAAAAACAGTGATTTGAACAGCGCGTGCGCTGATATCCAATTGAATATCAAAATATTTTTACCTAAAAAATACGATAATCATCATGCTACAGAATTTAACCAATTTCAAGTAAGAAAAAAAGTTGTTTTATGCTATTAATAAAGTGAAGTATACTTTTTAATACTAAGTCTTACTTGATTCAATTTGTCGCTCGTTAAGGCTTTCATGTTGAAGGTTTTTTCTTGATAATTACAAGTCCAACCTGAATTAAATTTTCACGGAATATTAATCATCCAAAATATAAATGAAACGTCATTGCTGTACATCTTGGTTTGATTTTCGAAACAGGTTTTACTGACACTCCTTTATTTTTAATATATGTATTCAGTATATTTTAGGACTTCTACTAAAAGCCTTATAGTTAAACATCACTTAAAGCTCTTTGACGTGTCATTTTGAATAGAAAGGTTTACTTTACAAACCGAATTTATTAGAATTATATGATTTACTCAAAGTTCACCAGTGTCAGAGGATATTTAAAAACGCCTTTTTTATTAAAACTTCTGAATAATATTTTCAAAAATATCAAAAACTTTTGATACCTTTAAAAGCAACATGGATTTCTAGAATAGACACTATGGATTGGCTAGACAGTTGATCAACTTTGTATGAAAAACTGAAATTTCTGATGAGGGGTTAGAGAATATTAAGTTATTAGACTAAACTAACGCATACTCTTTCTAGTCTTTAAAGAGTCTGGGTTACCAGCGATTAAGTACTATTGATCAAAATGATGAATGTGATAGTGATGAGGAAGATCTTGATGGGAGAGAAGGAGATGAAGACGATCTTTTCTTTGGCGAAAGTGACGAAGGCAGCATAGGTGCTGATAAAAAATTTATCAATGAACAAAATCCAATTGATTTACATCTCTGTTCAGAAGTAGAAGAAGAAGATTGTAAAGCTGTTTCACTGCCATCTGAATCGAATCACTACTACCAGCAACAACGAACAAATAAACTTGGTAAAACTATCAATACCTCATATTCATTGTATAAACCACACAAATGTTTGAGATGTTTTTACCGTTCAAATTGGAAAACGGTATGTATTGAAGATATATTTATTATATCATAATGATATTAAATTGAATTCATATTTCAGGATATGCTTCATCATATAAGATTAAAACATTTTGTTTATGATGCTACCAAACACGATTATCTTTCCATGACACCTGAAAGTGCATTTAATACGTTTTATACATATGAAAAAACGTTTGGTAAAGCATTAAAAAATCGTTTATTATTACCGAAAATAGACTATGTTGATTGTACTTGGGAAGAAGCAAAACGAAAATTATTCGAAAATAATCCATTATTATTCGAACAATATACGAAGAAAAAAAGTCGATATCATGATGATGCGTTAGAAGAACAATCAGAATATCTATGTACATCGATCACAAATAATACGTTAAAAACCATTCCTGTTCAAGTTATATCCTAACAGTTTTCATTATGTTTTTGTTTTGATCTTTGTATAGATAAATAGATATTCAAATCTTCCAAATAACGGAAAATGAAGTACCCATAGAGACCTAAGTATATAAACAGTTCTCTTATTCGTAAGAAGACTCAAAACAAATTTAGTAGTCTCGGGATATAGATTAAAAAAAAGGATAATGTGATTTATCTATTGCTATGTGTAATACAAATGTCCTTTAAGTACGACGACATGAAAGGATAACTACAATTCGGTTAAGTGACGTTTTTTAATTAAAAAAAAAGTTTTGTCATTTCATTCATAATATGTGTAAGTCGTTAACAATATATATATTTGTGTGTATATGTGATGTAATCGTACAAATGCAAAATATTCTTGTTTTTACTACAACAATTACATATCTGTATATTTATTCCCTCTGTCTCTTTCTACTGTTCATTTCAATTTGTTCTCTTTTTGTTGTTCTTATAACCAAGCGCGATATACACATACACACTTTTACTTGTATTCATTCAGAAAATATTAATCAAATGTTGAATTAGTTCAAACGGTCGTTAAACATTATCGTTGTAAGTAAGTATGTGTGTTTTGGATCGATAGTTTTGAATAAATTCGTTGTGAGTAAACCAGGGTCGAAAAAAGGACTTAAGTTCACTTTTGATGAAAAAAAAGAATTATAAATTATGATTCTTTTCTTTTTTTTTAATTTGTCTGAGCTGTGTAAGTGCCATTTGTCCTTGTTGTCTATATTCCTAGCGTGTTCATTAAACTTCTTAAATATAAAAATTTTCTTTTTCTTAAAAGGAACAAAGACATCGTTTGATGCTGACATATCATGTGAGTGAATAAAGTAGCATTTTCCTAATCATAAATATTTAATAGAGCAAGAGAATGTGTGTGCGTGTATATATATAGATATATATATATATATAGAGGCGCTAATTATCGCAAATTTTTTGTCAAGTGTGGAGAGAGATGAATTTTTTGTTAAAATACTACTATCAGATATTTATGAATGCACAACACGAAAAAAAAAAGAAATCTATTTAAAAGTTCATTATCTAAATAGCTGTTGAAAGATGAACAATATGTCTATCGCCAATTCATTTATAATTACAAAAAAGAAAGAAACCGTGGAATAATTCATTGTTCGGTTAATCTTATGATTTTTGCCTCTGCGGATGCTAAAGATATCAAGTTTTTATGAAACATTTTTCATTGTTCAATTGAAATGTGTATTTTAAAAAAGTCAAGAAATGAACAGAATAAGAAAATAAGATAATCAGTTAGAAGAGAGCCTATCTAAAAGTAAAATATCGTTTTATAATCTGGACTAAATGAAGAATAATCCTCTATATAGCTCATTAATTGTATAGAAAAGAACAAAGATAATCATTACTCTTTCTCTTTCTCTCTCTCTTTGTCTCTGACTAATGATGTTTTATTCGCCTTTTATCAAAACATTTTACAAACAGTTTTTTGATCTGTCGTTCTTCCCTCTGTTCTACATCTATCTAGAGTAAGTAAAAACTATACATTTGAGATTAAAATCAAGTATTATTCACTCGATGTATGTGTGTGTGTGTTAGCCTAAAAAACTCAAACAATCAACATTTTTTGATTGATATTTTAAGTAACTATTGTATTTCAAGTTGTTGAATATGTTCATGTTCATGTTCATATACTTTGAAATAAGAAGCCACATCACACAGATAACATTTCATGATGTTCGCTTACTTGTTCGCCTTTCGCTTTTTGTGCCACGAAACATATACATTGATATTACATTGTGCATATGAATGATAGAGCCGTGCATGGACAGTGTCATGAATTGATGAATGCTATTTGATCGATTCAATCAAAGTTATATCCAAAATTTTTTCTTAGAAGTTTTATTCTCTCTTAAAGTAAATGATTGCATTTTTAAATCCGAAAAAACAATTTGTCTAAATTTTCTCGTTCAAAATGAGATACAAAAGGTGGTCAATGTATTTGGGTCAGAAATATTTCGAAACTTTCTAAAATTTCAAAATTTTAGCATTTCCTATCTTTTTTCTTTTAAAAATACTTTATTTCTTTTCTTCTTCTTTGTTCTTCTTTATGAAAGAAAAAAATAAAATAAAAATGTCTATCACTTTCTTCTTTTTTTTTTCACGACCTCTGTTTTGTGGTTTTTATAAATACATGCACACAAGTAGCGAGAAATAATCTACAGTCTATATATTCGTCTTTTTTTTGTACCGATATCTAATCATGACATGCAATTTAGGAGAAACTCTAGTATAGAATAGATCATAATCACACAAATATTCTATTTCATTCCGTTTCTTTCTCTTCTTCTTGATTAATTGATAAATACATTTCCGACAGTAAACAATGTTTTGACCACGATTAACGTTGCGTAAAACAAAAAGAGCGTACAAGGATAATTTATTGTTTGGTGAGTCGAACAGACATCATCTTCATCTAGTTTTATGCTCGATTAAAATAATAATCGTCTCTCAATTAGCCATACGTCGAAGGATTATTAATGAGAAAAAAAAAACTCACAATTAGATATCAAGAACTTGTTAAAAACATCGACTTTAAATAAAAGAAAACTAGGAACATATTTATCATCATAAAAATTTCCAGAAATACATAAAAATAACGAATATTAGAATAAAGTAGAGGATGGTTAATAAAAAGATATAAATTTTGATTTATTTTTCTAGGTTAAAAATATGGGAAAAAAAACACGTAGTTTAAGTATGACATCAAATTTGTGTTATTGTGATGAATTATCCAAGAGTAACCATGAACTTTATCACTCTCCTTCTCATTATACAATGGATAAAAGAAAAGATACATTATGTTTTGACGACGAGACGAAAACTCGTCGTTCAAATTATTTAAATATCATTTATTTAACATTGATTATACTAACGTTATTTTGGAATGCGTATAATACATATCAAAATAATTTATTAACAAAACGTTTTAATCTATTAGAATCTTATTTTACTTCGTTACAACAAAGTTATTCCAATTTAAATGAACAAGAAATTTTTTCTAATCAAACAAAATCAATGTTAAGGATTTTATTTGAAAATGATTTCAATTTTTTCTCAGAATCAAAATCACAATTAATTAGTGAACAACCAACGGCAACAATCAGTGGCAGACAAGTAGAAAATGCCTATAAGGTAATATATTCAAGCTAAAGTATATAAGAGAGAATTTTACAGTACAGATGATAGATTACTAAAGCAGATGAGCAAATTTCAGTCATGCATGAATAAAAATCTTTTTTAAAAAGTTGTAAACGAACAAATGTAACGTTTTGTCAAAATGCTAAAATCAGTATCAAAAGTTTAAAACATTTCATCGTTGATAACTATAATTTCAGAGATAAAGTATTCTAAAATTTTGAATTGTTTTTTTCAAAATTAGTTTTTATTTTTGAACGCACCTGATGAAAGAGCCATGGAAAATTGACTAGATCGCTGGGTTTTTTTTCCACTACGCCTATTCGAGATTTGTGATGATTTTTTTCTAGAAGGCAATTTCTAAGAAAGATTTTAACGATCAAAATCCATATACATTCTTCATATTTATTGAACCAAAGTACCAATATGTCAACAAAGAAAAAATGTAATTTATATGACATTTTTTCTTTGACTAAATGGCGTAGTCAAATAAGACTGAAATCGTGTTGTTTATAACGTGTTGTGTTACATGTCTGTCGCGCTGATTTATTACAGCTTTTATAATTCACTTCGATAACCTTCAGTCAGAGAATGAAATGAATTAGTATGATGGACGTTACTTGTACAGATTCTGTGGACAATGTTTTTATAGATTAGAATAAAATGATTCAGTATCTTGTCGTTGTTAAACTTTACGTTCAGAATTCAAATTTATTAATATTCATCATTGCTGTGAGTGTTGCACTCGAGTTTCTTTTCATTATACGGATGACAATACACTCGTTCACTCATCATCCATAAAATTAAAATGACGAATAGTAGTTTGCTCACATACAGATTAGTTATAAACGTATAAAAAGAAAAACATAATGGTTGAGTTCAAAACCAAGGTGAAAAGAAAACTTTTGTTAAACGATAGTTGTTACAAACTGTATACACTTACTTATGGCATCATCATAGACCTCAACCACACATTCGTCAGAATTTATTTTAGACCAAAGTAACTGAGGAGAAGAAAGTTTTCGAATTGAATATGCGTCGACAAAACGTCAGCAGTTAAACTGGCACATTATGCCCTGACAAATTATTCATTGAGAGAAAATCTGGAAAATTGGTGTTTATCCTATTTTTATTTTTTTATAAAGCATGAAACAGAACAAAATGGTGAATAAATAGTGTCAAAGTCTTCTCTTGTGAAGAGTACGCCAAATTCTGACGCCGCTCAAAAAATGAAAATCCTGTGAACTCCTTCCTCTAGAGTGCTATAAAAAAAACACAATTTTTGAAGTCTTTCTTATCTTTCCTAAATCCCGTAGTATTTCATCTACGATTATATTTTATGAGAGGGAGAAATCTGTATGAATTCGTTCTAAGTGTAAGCTCAAGCTCCATCCAATTTTACCGATTTCATAAATATTAATATATAAAATATATTTTATTTACTGAACTTAAGTCAAACGTGTGTTTATGTGTGAACAACGTTGTCCTCTTTCTCTCTTTTCAATAATCGTTTTATTCATCATTTTAAGTAATCATCTACACTTGAGATAAATGCATTTGTCGTCTATATTACTCTCTACCCTACTTTAATACTTACATAAAACATCTGTAAAAGAGATGACGAAAAGCATTGAGTTATGTAAATAACTATGTGCACAGTGACAAGCACTTGATCACTTCTAATTATTACACCAATATATTATTATATTATGTAGAGAAAAAGTGCAAACTACTCAAGAAACATTTTATGCCACTTATTGAGGGTGACACTTGTGTTTGCATAGTCCGAGTAGGTTCCATTGTGAAACCAGATGTCTTTAACATGTGACGTTCATTAAGAAATGCAGAACAGTACCGTTCGAGGCTTCTGAATTGAGACCACTTTTTTGATAAAATGTCTTAATTGTCTTTAAGTCTTAGCTGGCATCAAACAAACATCAGAGGACGGGAAGCAGAGAGTTAGAGTGAGCGGAAAAAAGTGGTCTCAATTCGGAAAGAGCCGTATCGTTCATTCACAGAAGCGTCGATTATTTCACTTTATTCGAGTTAAGTCGTAAGAAAATTATTAATTTGAAATGACCTTTTTATATTAAACCTATGTTGTATAGGTCTCTTTCTTTCAATTGCCTGGATTAGCTAATAAATCTATACCTCACAATAAGAAATAGAACAACGAAAATAAATGACATAGACTGTTTCTCATTGTTTTTGTTTGGCTTTTGACGAGGATCTAAAAATGAAGTTGAACGGATTCCTAAGCAAAGTAAAATTTTTTTGTTAAAGTGTGAATAACATTACTATCATGCATTTTTATATATTGGGCATATTCACCCGCCATCACATACTTAGAAGTAAGAAACGATCATATTTTCATGAGAGGGAATTTACATCTTGAGTTCTAGTATAACTATTCTTCACTGAGACCTATGAAATGCAGATTTAGAAAAGGTTCTTATTTCTTTTCGCATTTATGATTGTCGTTAAAAAGAATATAACTCAATTTTGGATGTAGATGTGCTGTAAAAATCTGCTCGTTCATCTGTATATTTTATATTTTAGAAACTCGTGCGTCAACGTCGTTATCTATCACAAAATGCACAGCCATGTCCATGTTCAGCAGGTGAGCATTCGGCTTAAATTTGTACATGTTTTAAACACTGTATTGCAAGTGTATTATAGGACCCAAAGGTGATCGTGGATTTCCAGGTTTTCCGGTAAGAGCTTTCATTTTCTCATGTCCAATTTTTACTATTTCATTTTCATGAGAAATGTTTCTTATATTTTAGGGTGAAATAGGACCTGCAGGAATAAAGGTAAATGCTATATTTGAGTAAAATGGGAGAATATTTTGCATTCAGTCTATGTTTTCTAGGGAGAAAAGGGAAGTGCTGCACTAGTCTCGCGGACAGGATTAAAAGTAAGTCGTAGTTTTAGAAATATTAATATTAAAAAGAAAAAGGCTGCTTTTTCTTAGAACAAACGCGATTTAACAAATTGTTGTCAAAAGGTGACCATTTGTTGTACTATATTTTGTATTTGTGGGTGTGGATGTATGTGTTGTAGGATAGCAAAGGCCTCTTCTTTTTTCTTCGATTTGTTAAATAAAGGAATAAAAAGCTTTTTTTTTCACTTTTTTTAGGGAGAAAAAGGTGATCGGGGTAACGAAGGTCCGCCAGGAAAAGATGGTTTTCCCGGACCAGTAAGTATTTTTTTCTCTTCCTCTTTTATATATTATTCTTTAAGCTGTACATGACTGTACAGTTTATCGGATGAATACCAAAACGGTCGTTTCGAAGTTTTTGAATCATTTAGCGCCTTTAAGCAAGATGGTAAGCGTTGTACTTGCGGCGCTATATGCGTAACTTGTAAGTGATTATTAACGCAAACGAATAAATGAATATCGTGGGCTAATAAAATATAGAATAATCAAAAGAGAGCAAGAGAAATTATATACAAAGCTATTCAATCAATTGTTAAATTGGTACATTTGACGGTGAACATAGTACCATATTTGGAGAAAACTCTTTTAACAGTTTTTATCGATTCTACTGCTGGATATCCAATATTTCAATAACCTCTTAAAAATTTTATCGGATCGTTGAGCGATATGTAGAAAAATCCATGCAGTTTTTGGATAAAAAAGGTGCCACCTGACGAATTACAACACTGTAACTTTGTTTCTTGAATGAATAAAGTTTAAACTAAACTAACACTGTAACGTATAGTTTTTGCGTAAAATTTCAGTTCAACTTAGGATAGTTAGCATAAGTATATACTAGTTTTGTACGTTTATGGTATAGCGCTAATTGTATCGTACTTTTAACGACTTCCATACGAGTCCTACTGACTAGCAAAAGTTTAAATTTTATAAATATTTTTCCATTTTTCCAAGTTGCTTCATGGCTATCCTGGACCAGCTGGTCCACCAGGTATGCCAGGTGATCGTGGTGAAACTGGAGGACCTGGTGTTGATGTAAGTAGATTTGTTCATCATCTATACAGCAGATCTTTTAAAAAAAAAACGAATTTTTTTCTGGTTTTTAGGGACTTCCGGGTGCAAAGGTTGGTATTTAAATTAAACTTAATTTTTCTGAACAGTTAAAATTGTTTAAATCGAATCAGAAATCTCTTTTGGAGAAGTAGTCGGGGTTTAAACCAAGCAACGCCTATTTTTCTCTTTATTACCTTTTTTATTTTGTGATGTGCCGAAATGCTGCCAGACCAAAGAGCTATTGGAAAACCCCTTGTCTGCTTCTTAGTTATATATATCCAACTATCATCGTTCTTTTTGCCTAATGTTGCATGTTAAGCTGCAATCATATTATAATTATTTGTGCATCCTTCTCTCTTCGTTTTTGTTGTAATTTTGATTTCAGGATTAGAAAAGCAAAATTACTGGTGTATTATTTTGCTGCTCTGATTTATTTTTGGTTCAATTTATTTTAGGGTGATAAAGGCGATCGAGCATATCTAGTTCGGTCAAAAATGAGGCGATTTTTATTAATAAAGGGTGAACCTGGTCAGCAAGGACTAAAAGGTATGAAATATTGATAGCTAAATGGAGAAAGATCGTCAAAAAGAGATGTTTATAGAAAAGCTAACAGTATTCTACCTTTTTTCCTTCTTTTGTTATAGGATCTATTGGTGAATGTAGTACTGGCCAGAAAGGAGATCGTGGAACACCAGGTCTACCTGGAAGGTATTCCTTCACTACTACACTATAGTAATAAGTTCTGATGCTTCTTTCTCTTGTAGTCCTGGATTACCAGGTGCGGATGGTATGAAAGGAGAAATAGGCTGGCAAGGTCCTCCAGGCATTAAAGGTGAAAAAGGAAGCCGTGGAGAAAGCGGTGCTGTGCAAAAAGTTGGTTTTAATTCGACGCACATCATCGTTGTGGGTCCACGTGGACCGCCCGGTCCAAAGGTAAGGTCAATCTTAAATCTACAACGATGAATCCGTAAACACTTCTCAGCAGACAGGGTAGCCTTAGTTCATCAAAAAATAGGCAGAAAGCTTTTCTAAAAAAGCTTTTGAGAAAAGTCTTTTTATAGTGAAAATACATTTTGCAGACTTCAAACAGCTACTTATAGGAAAAATTATATCTAAATGTAATTTTTCTTTTAGGGTCGGATCGGTTTACCTGGTCAACAAGGCGAGAAAGGAGAGCAGGGTAGATTGGTAGGTTTAAATAAGTATTTCACCAGTTGATATAACGGATAGTTATTATCTAAACTAGTTTCGTGTCCGAACATAGAATAGGATTTTCAGGATATATATATATGTATATGTAGATATACAACTGTCTCAAATTTTCATGTAGGGATTGATGGGCGAAAAAGGTGATCAAGGACCTCCTGGAATCAAAGGGGAAAAAGGAAGTCAAGTAAAAGGACAACAAGGCGAAAGGGGACCAATCGGTCTTCCTGGATTTTCTTCTGTAAGTAAATCGTATTTGTGTTTTTTTAATAAGATAAATGCATGTCCAAGATCATTTAGGGTCCAACAGACGTCCACAGCAAACGTTCGACGGTATTTATGAAATTGTTATCGGAGCTACATTTATGTTGTGCATATTTGCTACATTTATTCTATTTTGAGCTTTTGTTTGTGCTCTGCTATGCATGATTGATAGTTATCTTTTCTTTTGGCGTTGCTGGATTACTTCTCTGAAATGGAGAATTATTTGGTAGTTTTAGAACATCTAAAAACTAACAGTTTTTACTCTTCTCAATTTTTTTTTTAATATAAATGATTTTGTTTCTTTTCAGGGAGATCGAGGTTTCCAGGGAGAAAAGGTAATTTTAAAATGTCGTTTAAATGAGTGGTTTTTTGCACTCACTGACTCGATTTTCAGGGTGCTCGAGGCTCATTTGGATTACCTGTGAGTTGATATGCAGTTCGTCTAAACTCGGTAGAACTAACACAACAATAATCTTCTTAAACTTGACTCTCTGATCTTCCTACAGATGTAGTGTTGAGTTTAAAATAGTTATAACATTTTTAACCACTTTAATGCACTGAGTTAAAATGGTTAAAAGTAGAGTAATGATGTCAGTCAACCATCTGCTATTAGAAATACTATTCTATCTTATAGGTAATTCCTATAGCTGTAAACATATTTTTTTCATAATCTGGTCTTACTTACAACACAGATTTGTAAACAGAAAGGGGGTAAAGAAGTTTGCCTAATCCAAACGCTTAATTTGTTTTCAGGGACCGCCCGGGCTGAAGGGTGAAAAAGTAAGTGAGAAAGGGCATAATATAGTTATCATTCATTCATGTTCTCTATACTCATAGGGCGAAGAAGGAAGACGAGGTCTACGTGTAAGTAAATTACCTTTGTAGTTATGCTACAATCACACACGGTGACTTTCTTTCAGGGACGGCCAGGTTTACCAGGTCCATCCGGGATGGATGCATTGCCATGTCCGCGAGACGTACTTATGAACTTTGAGAATGTGTGCAATTTATGCTGCAAAAAAGACACTATTCCAAGAATCTAAATGTAAATATGACATTTGTAAGTAATTGCAATTTTAAAGCAGACTGTTTTAAAAAATTTTATGTTTTTATTAAGAATTCCGTTACTCTCCACAAGAGTGGCATAGACTGAGATATTTACTTCAGCTCGATTCATTTGTATTCCGGTGCTATATTATTGATCTGTTGAGTAAAAAGAAATTATCTCAGATTGATAGAAATTAATAGCTTGTCAGTACAAGTGATCGTGGAAGATTTATAACGGACACCAGTTCATAAACATATATATTGATACTTTTATATGTTGTTTTTTCAAATTTTTTCTACAGACATATTTTTTAATTTTTTTTTGTTATGAATTGTTCTGAACAGGGCATCAAGTCAAAATATAGTATTACATCTCTTTTATTTATTTCACCCTAGGTGATTTAGAAACAGTCGTAAATGATCGCAAACAGCGATTTATGGTCGGTTACAGCCGCCCGATCCTGTAACCCTTTTCCTACAGTCGTAAACGCTAAGTTACGGTGATTTCCAGTGGTCGATTCCAGCTAGCGTACCCGTTTCTGTTTATGGTAATTCTGATACCGCAACCGACCGTAAACCAAGTTTTTGCTACGAAAGTACTTTAATATTACATATTTAGCTTCAAGTTTACAGGAATAAAACATTGTTTTTAGTCCTCTTTGAGCCGATGAGCTTAAAAATTAGTTTTTGTCTCGATCGGCCAAGATAAACTTCCATTAAAATTTTTCTTCCATTAAACACCAGTGTCAATATAAATCACACTGGTGCTGGCGCTTACTGAAAGGAGTTAATGAAAGTCTATTTTCATCGTCTCAGTCCAAGATGACATTGGTTCTGTGTTAGTGGGAACATCATTCTCATAATAATTAATAAGATAAATTTATATCGCAAAGGTTCCTTTTACCAACAATTTTTGTGAAAAACCAACGAAAAATATTAACAGTCCACTTATCAGTTTCGTTACCCACCTACTAGTTACGTGACAAATGCACTAATGGATGAGACTTTGTATTATGTCGACAGACATTATGTGTATTTGCTGGGATTTTTTTTGTTTTTCTTTAGTCATTTTTTTTACAAAATGTGCACGACGTGATCTAGCGAACTACGCTACTTAGAAAACTTCTGAAAACGGGAGGATAATCTCTCAACATTGGAGATTGATCAATGCACGTTCTTTTTTCAAAGAGAAGTCCAGATTCTGCGCCATAAGCTACTCTGATATAAGCTATTGGTACGATTTTGTTGCATTTTGTAACCTTTGATACTTTTAAATCGTGATTTTATTCCCACAAATTATGTTTGTCTAAACGTTTCGATGCTTTGCATCTTCATTAGTAGACACGATAAATCAAAAAGAATATTGTTTTTAAAAAAAAACACGATCAAAAATTTGTATTCTTTTTCTTTTAAATTTATCGTGTCTACTGATGAAGATGCAAAGCAATGAAACGTTTAGACAAACATAATTTGTGGGAATAAAATTACGATTTAAAAGTATCAAAGGTTACAAAACATAAGCTACACAAGTAGAACTAAAATGTCTTTTGGACTTAGAAACGTTTCGTACATTTATAAAAGTTGATTGTCCGGCGCCATTTGTTCTTGAGACGAAATATAACTAGAGAGCAATTGTGCTGCGCACAAGTTGCGATGTCGACAGACTCTGGTCATATTAACAGAGACAGAGAGATCATTAAAAAATCGAAGTTAAGAATCTCTACACAGCATTTAAATGTCGTACTGTTTTATTTATAAAGAACAAAGAATTAAACAAAGAATTAAATAATTATACTTCGTCTTAAGAATAAATGACGCCGGACAATCAACTCCTATAAATATACGAAAAGTTTCTAAGTCCAAAAGACATTTTAGTTCTACTTGTGTAGCTTATGGCGTCGAATCTGGACTTGTGTTTGAAAAAAGAGCGTGCGTTGATCGATCACCAATGTCAAGAGATTGTCCTCCCGTTTTCAGAAGTTTTCTAAGTAGCGTAGTTCGCTAGATCACGTTGTGCACATTTTGTAAAAAAAATTACTAAACAAAAAAAATAATAAGAACTAAAGCAATTGCGCTGCGCACAAGTTGCGCTGTCGACAGACTACATCCGATCTGTATTTGCCAGAACCATCAATAGGGTATTCCCCAAATCACGTTCGTTGTGGTTTTAGTTTCTTTACAAGATAGATTTAAGAAAATTAAAATGAAAACGAAATTTGAAGAAGACAAAGAATTATTGTCTTCGGAAGAAAAAATGGCGCCGGACAATCAACTCCTATAAATACACGAAAAGTTTCTAAGTCCAAAAGACATTTTAGTTCTACTTGTGTAGCTTATGGCGTCGAATCTGGACTTCTCTTTGAAAAAAGAACGTGCATTGATCAATCTCCAATGTTGAGAGATTATCCTCCCGTTTTCAGAAGTTTTCTAAGTAGCGTAGTTCGCTAGATCACGTCGTGCACATTTTGTAAAAAAATGACTAAACAAAAACAAAAAAAATCCCAGCAAAAATACATAATGTCTGTCGACATAATTATTATTTAATTCTTTGTTCTTTATAAATAAAACAGTAAGACATTTAAAAGTTGAGTAGAGATTTTTAATTTCAATTTTTTAATGATGTGTCTGTCTCTGTCTCGCTTAATATGACCAGGGTCTGTCGACATCGCAACTTGCGCGCAGCTCAATTGCATTCTAGTTGTTTTTATGTGTACAGACATTATGTGTTTTTGCTGGGATTTTTTTTTTTGTTTAGTCATTTTTTTCACAAATGAGCACGACGCAATCTAGCGAACGTAGAAAAGTTCTGAAAACGGGAGAATAATCTCTCGACATTGGAGATTGATCAATGCGCATTCTTTTTTCAAAACTAAGTCCAGATTCGGCGCCATAAGCTACACAAACACAGGGTGTCCCAAAAGTCCGGCGAGAAAATTTTTTTTAATAACTCGGCCATTTCTTAGCCAAACTTCAAGGTTGTGTTTTTGTTTGATAGAGAAATGTTCCAAGTTTTATTTCGTACGATTGAAAACTCTTGTTAATATTTGAAAAGATGTTTGGATTTATTATAGTAAAATTCAGATATTTTAGGACTCGTTTTTAATAAATTATGTGCTGCAAAACGTTTTGAAAAGAACATAAATAATTTTTAATATTAAAATAAAGTAGATGATGACGGCTTTCATATAATGAAATAAGGATTTGCTTTTGTTTAAAAATGACCGGTTGGTGTAGATTTCTTCAGCCATTGCTATTTCATACTAGCATCTGGAAAAGTGCAAAAAAGTAATAAAAACATTTTTCAGATAAAATTAACTAATAAAAGGGAAAACTACTGATGGAATTCTATAGAAAGAAGGTAGCCTTATAAACTGGAATAGTTTGAAAGCCTGTAAAAGGTTGTATCAGGCTATTGCAGAAGTCGCAATCCCTAGATCATGCTAATATGGAGAAATTAACTTCTTGTGGCAAAACTTTAAGCTGGACAAAACATTTGAATATGTGGGATTGTAGAGCAACCTGAGTTCTACAAAATGAGACATAATGCGACTCTGACAGACATTCCATTTAATTATGATCAACTCAACAATCTTTACGCACTATTATAAGTAGTTAAACAGAAAACATATGTTGTAAGTTTTATTATTTTTCCGTACTGATTCTTTTTTACACAAAAAATTCCAATCGTATGAAATAAAACTTGGAACGTTTCTCTATCAAACAAAAAGACGACCTTGAAGTTTGGTTAAGAAATGGCGGAGTTATTAAGATTTTTTTTCCAGCCGGACTTTTGGGACACCCTGTAGAAGTAAAATGTTTTTTGGACTTAGAAACTTTTCGTGTATTTATAAAAGTTCATTGTCCGGCGCCATTTGTTCTTGAGACGAAATGTCAAATAAATATATCTGTATTGATTTCATTTACTCAATATATATAAACATATATATACCGAGTAAAGCAAAGCAGAAATGCAATCCTCACAGCCTACTAGTAGGATCTGCTTGGAGCGGTAGGTTCAGTCAGAGACAGAGTCTGTCGACATCGCAACTTGTGCGCAATGCAGTTGTAATCTAATTTTATTGTTAGTACTAAGTCTCAACTACTCTAGGTGCGCTAATCGAAGAAAATCCTGACTGTACAGGTTAAAATAAGCTAGAAGCAAATGCTGAAAGCAAGCTGGAATCAACGTAATTTGCGTCGCTTTTTGTGTTGATTGTAGTAATTTGCTCCCACCGTCTTATCTCTATCGACTGTATACTGTACTGGAAAAACACGACAAAATAATATAATAACAAGGTTTAGTTCATCACGGGTTAGGATACGCTAGGCACAAAACGCTGATGACAACGTGAAATCATATTGTTCTTAAGGGTATTCCCTTCTTTTTTGAAAAAATTTCGGATTTTGAGTTGAGCATAGACTAATGTAGAAGAAAGTGTGGGCTAAAAAATGAGACGACTCCCAGCACTCCACAATCTTTTTTCAAAAGTTATGCATTTTTGAAGTTTTTCCTTCAAAGCCTAAAAAACTTCATTTTTCAGCTTCATAAACTTTTCTCTCCTTTTCCATAGATTCAAAATTTTTCTTACACATAGTCTGATAGGAGAAAGTATTTTCTTCGCAATGAGACGTTTTTCCGAATCTTCGGATCAGTTTTTGTGGAGGTATAAGCATCGTGGCAAATCCCCGGAAAAAAGTGACTTGTGGACAAAATGCGTTTTTCCTCAAAAACTATTTTTTTACTACCGGGCTTCATTGTGTCACATTACGATCGCCCTTAAATATCATCCGATCGAGTTAAAAATTTTACTAGACGTACTCAAGACTTAATTTAGCTC